TTTAAATTTTTTATTCTTCTTATTTTTATATATACTTACTTACTATGAACCAGATATAATGTGTTCTTAATAAAGATTGAATTGAACTGAAGAAGAAAATTGGATCAAACTTGTGACTGATCAATATGGAGGGGAAAACAATTATCACCCAGCCCTATGATTTGCCATGAAAAAATGTAAAGTAAAGTAAATTCAATCAAAATTACCAAAATGTAATAAACAAATTGAGATACTTGAAGCAAATGATAAGTCACAAGAGCAAATATGACACAGGACAGTCAGCAGTGTCTAACCCCTGGGATATGCATACAAAGACAACCGGTTAAATCCATATCATATTGAACTGATGTCAAAAGTAAATCGTCAAAATGTTGTCTCAGCTCATCTGTAGCTCACTCTCTGCTGCCCCATGTGAATAATAAAGGATGCGCTGCCAATATTAACTAATCAATCCAAAAAGTCAAACAGCTTTCCAGGAATCTTTTGGGATCAGTGGTTAGAGCATAAACATTGGCTACAGGGCTCTTAAACCCTCCATTAATGCTTATAAAAAAAGATGCTCTAAGCTTTCACATGCATTTAAGTGATCTGCATTTGACTATTGAAGTAACCGAAAGGGTGCTCTCAAAATCTATAGGGATAACATAACTTGGTCACACGACATTTATCTTTATTTCTGAAGTGAATTTGAATAGAGTCCGTACTGAGGCATTTGAATCTATGGTCTGTCTGGAGGTGATAGGGCCCTCAGACCTCACATGGGGGAAGACAGATAGATGGATCTTGCGTCTTTTATCAAACATTGGCAGAGACAGTTACAAAGCATTCCCTCATTCTTCACCATCGCATTAGGAGATGCCATAGCAACCAGAGTAAAAACCTGGGCCTCCTTGTTTCTCCACACAAGTCCTGGCATCCACTTTTCCACATTTTTGGCCTATGAAGTTGTCAGAAGTAAAAAATGACTCAGATAGACAGATTTGTAAGAAAGAGTTAAATTATGATACGATGTTTAAAAGAAAATTTAAGCAGTCTATTTTATGATTAAAGGGCTAATATCACGCATTTTTTTTTTATCTATGTAATAATGTTGTTTCCTCATCAGAAACATACCCAGAGTTGTGTTTTGTTTCATGCACACATGTTACATGCAAACAAACCCTGCAAATTTAGTGATTTCTTCGCACAGAAAACAGTCAGTTCCACTTTGTGATGTCATGTGGTAATACAAGAAGTGCCCCACTGTGTTTTTAAAACCCATACAGCTTAACTAGAATCATTAGGATGAATTAAAATGTAAAAAAAGCTGTTAACTTGAAAACTACCGCTTCATAACATCACATTGTAGAACAGAGCATTTTGAGCTTTGGAGATGTAGACGGACTAATCATGGCTTAAAGCTCACAAGAGTCAGTTTTACGTAATATAGAGCCTTTAAAAAGAACCTTGAAGCAGTTTGTTTTGTTGGTTCAAAATCTGGTTAAAAATTGTTGGCCTACTAACATTTTACACAACTCACAGTACTACCTTATTCTTTTATATCTAGCTCAAGTATTAAATTGGTTTTATCATGCAATTCACACTTAAAATTTCTCATCTAGTCAACAACAAATAACACACAAACAACGGACCACAATCTTGAAATTCTGTTTGAAAATTGTGGCATTTCCTCAGAGCATGGTGCTACAGCTTTCTAGCACTCACCGGTACAAAAGCTTGATTGTCTGAAACTTGAATTAAGTGGAAAATCTAGTGGGCGTCAGTGAAAAAAAAAAAAAAAGTAAAATGACTCTCTCTCTCTCTCTAGGGAATCCTGACATCACACAAACAGCATGCTATACTCGTGACCTGTGAAGTGCTGTGAGAGCCCAGTAAATAATGTCATCGGGCTGGGTGGTATTTTGCGCTAGCAGCAGGATGAGCGCTAGCATAACCACATAAAAGAGTCGCTATCAAAAAGGGTATTTGGCATCGAACAATACTGTCAGATTTCTATTGTATTCAGGCTATGTAAATATTTGAACCTCTTTCGGCTCTCTTGTCATGACCAAACAATATGCCCTGGTGAAATAAAGGGTACAAAGCAGAATGACATCATGATCAGACAGGTGAAGTACACAAAACTAGTGATGCATTCATGGCAAGGCAACTGAGCACTTCAAAACTCCTGCAAAACTATAATTACTGTCATTAACTCTATTCATCTATCAAATGAGGTTCTTTGATGGAAGAGAGGAGAACTGGCAAAAGGGAAAGCAATGAAAATGAGCCAACGTGACCAAATCCAACAAACTACTCATAAAGATGCTAACAATACATTTTTAAATTACAACTTTACTAAAAAAGGTAATAGCTGATAGGAGTGTGCAAAAATATTGAAATATTTATACAGTATATCGTATTATTTAAGTTAATGATACAGTATCGATATATAACCAAGAGGATTTTTTGGTGTATTTTACTAAATTATTTTGCTACAGCACTTCAGTTTTGTTGTTTGTTCAGAGGAAGGAGACTTGTTTATGCAACACATTTGACATTTTCTCTCTTTTGATTAAAATGTTTGTGTTTCATATGAACTTTGTTAGTGGTTTAACAAAGACTTTTAGAATCACAGCCATGATTTAGCCTTTATTTTTTTATTGACCCATATCAAATCGAGAAATAAATAGTATATATATTTGCACTGTATTATGTATCATATCATGGCCTATGTATTGAGGTATGTATCGTATCAGCAACTTCTTAATGATACCCAGCCCTAATAGCCAATATAAAAAGATCCCCAAACTCATTTTTAAACATATTTTATCCCTATTCTACTAGATTTTTAATAGTGATTTGAAAGATTGATTTTATTCTTCTAATGTGGTCAGTGTTCCTTGACTATCAATGTTCTGTCCAAACAAATCAGAGTTTGTTTGAATGTCTCCACAAAGCATGGGCAGAAAATCATTTAAAGTTGTGACCCTTGCTATCTGTCTTCAGCTTTTTAATTGACATTTAAAACACACTTCTGTCACATTAAATACATATTACACAATTAATGTGGTCTCATATTGTCACAGTATGATACTTCTTGCTGCTAGCTACTGCACACAGTTAGGTGTAGCACTTCCATAACGAGCCTGTCTGTCTTGTCATTTTATAATGAGGCAGATGTAGCAGCAGTTTACATGAGAAGATCAGGTTAATTTATTCATCTTGGGGTTGGGTAAGACAGTGAGCTGTAGAAATCTGGCCCTCCACAGGTGGGGTTTCATCAGCCAGTCTGTTTCATTCTGTCCCCTTGCTCTTCCCTCTCACCTACACATCTAAAACCGCTCCCAATTAGGAAACCGCATACGAGTCGGCGCAGGATAGTTCCTTTGATGCAAAAGCATGCTCAGTGATGTGCGCAGTGTTTTGGAGACAGCTGTGCAGTGAATGTCAAATGTAAGAGCTACTGACAAAAATGTGATGGGTCAATGACAAAAACTCTCAACCATAATGATCCAGAGTTGGTTCTTCATGATTTATTGCTCATCCGACAGTCATGTTTGATCAAACTCAAAATTCTGAAATTATACAGACCATGCTACAAATGGATCTGCAATCCTGCTTATCCATACTGACAAATGCCAAAGCACTACAAACCAGAGACCTATGGGCAATTGTATCATTGAATGGTTAAGCTTAAGAATCAAATATAGTAATTTCTTCTCTATAGTCATTACGTAGGCACTATAATATTCTTATCATCTTACTTATGATAAATAGAACCTTTGTTTACTTCAAGATTGTAAAATCCTCTTAGACACTCTTAGGTAAAAAATAATACTGAATTACATTGACAACTGTTATTTAGTTCCAATCTGGGGTTTCAAGGTTTGCAAACTGTGCCATTAACGCTGTGCAGAGCTCTTAGAAAAGTGCTGTGATCAGTAAAATGGTAGAAGACTGGACTAGCAGCTTTCTTGCTAATGCGTACCTGTTTAGTGGAGATCCATTTGTGCCTCATCAACATTAAGCCCTCCCTCAATCTCAGTATAAAACTGTCTGAAAATGAACATTGACAGGAAGGAAGTGCAATTGGTTCTTTTGCCATGCAGAACTTTGCTCTTTAAGTCCACAACATCTTTCTAACTTAAGTCTTCCGTTAAAGACTTGTTAGGTCTATTCAGCAACAGCTACATTTATTATCAAGTTAAGAGGGTACATAAATCTTGATTACACCCTTTCAGACAAAATTATCTGCTTAACCATGTGAAACAAATGCAAGCGGAGCACTGTTCATATAGCATTAAATAACCACCAAAAAAACTGAACAAGTGCTAGAAATGTTTAGCATCAATTGATTTCACACCAGCACTTGGGACACATGATCCGATTGCCAAGTTAATGATCTTTGTCACACCATACTTCTTATGCTTGGAAATATCTTATTATTTTTTAAAGGGATCGCACTATGTAAACTTGCCTTTGTGAGCTTTTAACTGTATTATTACAGTACTCCCTCATCTTGACTTTTATAAAAGTTATATTTCAATTGATTCATGCCTCTCTGACTCATCATTCATTTTCATTTGGATTTAAAGGAGTGCAAAGAAAATTTCTGCTTTCCCCTACTACCTATCTCTGCCCACTCCTCGGTACTTACTTGAGATTATTGAAAGAATCCAGACTACAGGTCATATATGTAAGGTTAGAAATGTCACATATCCATTTAAAAGAAAATAAAAACAAGTAAATGAAAAATCACTGCTAACTATGATGAAAGAGGTGGAGCATTCAATTTTGAAGTCAGTGGACTTGTTTGTACTAATAAGTTGCTTTAAATAACAAAACGTAAAATAATGATCTACATAATTTATCATTTTAATATCATAATAGATCTTTAAGTAAATACAGCAACGTTATACTTACTGTTGTTGCACAATGGACTTCAATACAGTGTCCAAGGCACACTGCTTTCTTAAGTACACGATTAGCCATATTGTGTTTACTGTAAATTGACTGACCTGGTGAAGATCCTGGCCCAGAGTAAACTCCTGGAAGTATCCCGGAGCAGCTGATGTGGCACGGATGGCCTGCCACAGCCGGTGTTGACAGCCCCCCAGGTAATGAGAGCGCACTCCAGGCAAAAGGTTGTAGTTCCTGAACACATAGGCCTTCAGAGGAGTGCCCCTGTTCACAATGGTGCTCACAGCTGCCACCTACAGGCAGTGCAAAATATGTTAACAATTTCAGACTGTATTGCATAATAAGTTTAGTGTACATGTGTTCTTTGTGGTAAATATATAACTTGCAAAACAATTGAGGGATGATCCAATATAGATTTTTTTCAGCTAATACCAATATGCAATATGGGTCTTCCTGTTGTGGTTGATAACTGTTATTTGCCAATACAGCTTTACTAATACAGTCAAACAAGATTTTTTAACAGTAGACTATTTATTGCCTCACCTTTATATTTAACTTTTTTAAAATACACCCAGTCATGCTAAGGCAAATTCTACATTTTTTCCCATATTTGCTCAACATTTCAGATATCAAATACTTGCACAGTGTCCGTTAATTTACATCAACGCATCAATAACGCTTTCACAGAGGCAGAGCGTTGACTAAGACAGATAACTGGGGCATTAGATGTGACAGCCTTGTAAATGAGCTGAATATCCACAGCCAGACATGGCATGGTGGGGGGAGCAGTGAGTCAGCCCATCTCTGAACACTCACCTTGGGGCACTGGGGGTTTCTTGCAGTCTCCACCAGGATGTTAGAACCCATTTTCTCCCTGTGGAGGCCAAATGGATATCATGTCATTTTGTCCTTTCCCTTTGAACATTTAACCTTTTATATATTAGTAATGGAAGATAAAAGCTATAATGTTCTGTAAAATATGCTTTCTTCCTTGAGTGTTGTAAGCGTACCATTTTATAAAGATAAAGCAAAAGAACCAAAATCAGCAGCATTGTTTATTTTTTACTGGTAGAGCAAACAAACAAATAATGCATCACCTGTCAGTCAAACTTACTTGAGCAAAATCTCCCAGGCCTCACTGTCATAAAAAGCGTGGCTCCATCCCATCTTCACTGTGCCAACAATGACATTCTGCTTGAAAATGTCCGAGCCCAGCTTTCGATAAAGGTCATCACACTCACTTAAAGGAATTTGGAAAATGCCTAGTAAAAATCCAAGAATGGCACCTGCAAAAAAGCGCAAACTGCATAACTTTTTACATAGGATGAAACTGAAAAATAATGTATAGAAGGCATTTTGCACTGATTAATTCATTAAAATTTTTTCAAGTACTTGAAGTACTAAACAAAAACCTGTAATAAACAGCTTCCTGCAGCTTATAAAAAAATTAAAATTGAGTTTTATGTAGGTGAAAAAGTAACACTGCCATCTTGTGGTGATACAAGCCATATCTATACATTTAAAACTTATTAATTATTAATATGAACGATGTGGTTTAGGTATGACATAGCAGCAATAACACAACTGCTTTGAATAATTGTTGGAGTATAGAGAAATTACAGCCAATGACAAGTGGGTCATTGTGTAACCATGCAACATCTTTTAAATTAAATGTATTTATTTGATCAGAGACAAGGACACAGAAAGGATATTACACTTACAAAAACAAAAATATGTCATGTGCCAGGTTTTTGCAAAAATGCTAATTTCCAGAGTTTCCACCTGAAGTCACTGGGCAGGGAATTGTTTAAGCTTAAGAAATATTTTTTCAATTTGAGAAATTTAATGTGACAGTCACCAAAAAAACATCCACATTGATATACTGTATATAACATAATAAAGACAGTATGAAATGCAGAGGAACATACCTGTACTGACACCACATATATAGTCAAAGAGTTTGTGTATGGGTTTGCCAGTTAGAGCTTCCAGTTTGCACAAAGTCTGAAGGGCCACTAATCCTCTGAAATAAAAAACACACGATTTTCTCAGAATAGGAGAAAATAATATATTAATTATCAAACAAAATACATTTAGAAATTGAATTCATACCTTAAACCTCCTCCATCGATGGACAGGATCCTTATTCCACGGCCTTTAACAGCTTTGTGGTACCCCACCAGAGCCAGGGCTTCTCGGACAGCAGAACGGAGGCCTGGGTCACTTGCCTGTTTCAGCCGAAGCAGACAAGGGATCACCTTCTCCTGGAATAAAACACAACAATATATGAATAACTGATAAACATTTAAAATAGTTGCATATTGCAGGTAAGTTGATTTATATGAAATAATCACAAGTACAAGTCATTCATTTGGTTTACCGCTTGTGTTTTCTTTTTTATTTGAAATAAGCAGGTAAAAATCTATTTTATCTGTATTGTGTAAACAGACAGTGTTTCATAACATGAACCACACATGTGAGTATATGGCCTTTGTTTAAAATAGAAGCACATTGAATAAGGCTTTCACACCACCTGAGATAAGACAGAAACATAAATAAATGGTATGCAGACACCAGACGGTACGTACTATAGTGTCTGACTTTGAAACTGAGCAGACAACAGTGACTGTGGCCTTGAAGGAGAGTGAAGCATTTGACATTTGACTAACAAAAAAAAATGCTAAGAAGGAGCATTACAATCTGTTTTACTGAGCATTCTGATAATACAACTTGCTGCTCTAATCTGTCTTTGCAGTAAACATATTGTGCACAATTGGTACATTACTGACATAGCCACTAGAAATACATACTTCGGAAAAAAATGCAAGTCATATAGGAAAGCTCACCTTGACTGCGACCCCACGGGTTTCTGGAAATTCAAGGAGGTGATAGCTGAGGTCTTCCACTCTACTGATATACACCCTCACATCTGATGCTCTTTGGAGGGCCTGCACCAGAGCCCGGGTCCGGTTATCAACACTCACCCTTGCTATGATCTGGCATTCAAGAAAAAATTGTGAAACAATGTGTTAAAGACAGATGTCATCAAGAATGTGTCAAAGGATTATGGTTATTATGACCACGCATAAAAAGTTATGTCTAAAAGACGGTGTTCAGTTTGATCACAATAATTAATAGAGGAGACAAAAGTCAGTATTTAGAGTGTATTTACAATCCATAAACACTTACAGTGCTCCAAGCTATGTGTCCCTGTAATTTTCAAGGCAGGCTATTTTAAAATCTAGCTTCCTAGAAGGCAATACTATTACATGTATAGAGTAGCAGGAGTTCTGATAAGAGCGTGGACAGCAGCCTACTTCATATTCAAAGGTGGATAATAGATAATGTTTCGGTCCCACTATAGACACTGTTAATGGGACAAAGTTAACCAGAACAATATTACAACAAAACAAAATATATATGCCACAAACCTTTTCTCTTTGGAGCAGAAGTCTCTTGGTTTTCTCCTCTGCTGCTTTCTCCTCTTTACTTATTGTAGCCTCAACCTGTTCAGTTGCTGTCACATCAGAAGTCTTCTCTTCTACGGGGCTTTTAGATTCTGTAGTCCTAAACCTCGGGACCAGGGGGGCTATATAGCTGCCCACAAAGGCCTGTACAGTTGGAGCAGAGTAGGACAAATACTGCCCTATGCTCTTTCTGGGTGGGGTTGGTTGTATTGCAGGAGTAACATCTGTTTTATCAACAACTGAAATGGCGCCATCTTTTATTTTACCATAAGTATTATGGTTTTTGTCTTCAGTTTTGGTGTTGCTGCTGAAGTATGAGTTGATGTGATGTGCCAAGTAGTTGTACGTTTCATCCAGGCTGACTGAAAAGGCACTCGGATGGAAAAGTGGGGTCGACTGAGTATCAGTTGAGTTTTTGTTTTGAGTATCGCTTGTAGATTTTGTTTCATCAGGTTTTTTGGCAGAACCATTTTTGGTAGTGGTGACAACACGTTTTAATCTTGGAGGGTCTTTTGGACTTTGCACTATTATACTATTGGCAGCATGTGTTAGGTTGGAAGATTGTGTAGGAGCTGTGTTTTTTTCAAATGAATCAGCAGACCCAGTGGTGCCAGATGAGTTTACTACAGGTTTAACTGTGCTCTCTCCAGTTGTAGAAGAAGCTTCTTTTGGATTGCCCACTTGTGTTACTTCACATTGCTCGACTTTTGGCGCAGTGTCCACAATTGCTGCAATGTTCTTACCAGTTTTGGCTGCTTTTGGTTTTAGTCTGGCAATTTTAGAGAGCAGTTGTGTATGGCTTCCACTGACAGCTTTAGAAACAGTACCTAGAGTGTTTTTGACTCTTGACATGTTGAAACCAGTGAACCAGCGAGAAGTAGAAGTATTAAAATGCAGAGTACTGGTGTGGAATAGTCTCTGTGAAGTTCTTAAAATCCATTCTTTTCGAGTCTTAATCCTTGAGTAATGGCAGAGTCGTCTCTGGCTGAGAGAGCCAAATTTGTAGCCCCCGGGCTGTTGCACATATATCCTGTAGTGAGAGGTACCAGGGAGAGATGACAGTCCAGACTTGTAAGCATGAAGGTGCCACAAAACAAAACCTCTACTTAATTTCACCCAAATGTGTGGTGCCAGCCTACGACTCATTCTGACAAATGGTGGTGTTGTTTATCCCATCCGAACCATTATTAAGCTGACCGATTAACCATGCCTGATGATAAAAATGAAAGACAAACATTGAAGAATGAACAGGATGAATGGAAAAACAATTGAATGTTAAAAAGTGGAAAGAGAAACCAGCGTAACGCAAGGAGCTCAAACGTAAACTCAAAAGTGTCTCAATATGAAGTCCGTGGTTCCTACATTAAGATGATTAGCTATATAAACAATTCTCTGTCAAGATCCACACCCTTTTTTAATCAAACTCTACTGCAATTTACCTTGTTTGACGTTAGCTCCGCTAGCAAAAAGAAGCTAACTAATGCTAGCACTCTTAGAAGAACAACAATAGAGGACAAACATACCTTTAGTTAAACTTGCACCTACTCAAAAGTATAAACTAATTCCTCGGTGCACTTGTAGTGACATGTGCGATGGCAAAAGTAAACGTAAGGGTCACTCAACTTGACTTGATCATCAAAATAACGTGACGCCATCGGAGGAAAAACAAAGGTCACGTGTTTTTTACGTTTGCTTTGATTGGCTGTTGGGTGCGTGCCTCTTGTGGTTGATTGGCTGAAGATTATTCCCACCATCTAGGCAAGAAAACGTGAATAGAGAGTGATTATAGATTTACAACAACATACAGGGCAGGGGTTTGTGCTGTTTGATAACGCAAACGAAATCTTTCAAGTTAAAAAAGCTAAACAATAATGCTTAGTGGCTCGGAAAATGTGCATATGATTCAGCGGGGTGCTTTTAGGGCAAGGGTAGAACTTGAACCACGCTTTGCCAAAACTTTACAAAGACAGAATGTAGAAGGGGCTGTGGTTGATCAGGAAAGGGGAAAAAAGCTTTATAGGGTTTGATGTTATGTTTGTATTGTCCGCCAGAGGGCGAGATATTCTACGCCGCAGTTGAGATGATTTTCATCACCACTAAACTAATCGAAGAAGAAACGATGCTCCGTTGTCGACACATTTCAGACTTTTACCCAGATAAACTATAAAAGTATCATGAATCTTGGCTTTTGAGTGTCAAATGTATAGTCAGGAGAAGAAATGCTCTGTAAAGGTAAGTTTGTATAATACACATATTTTCTCGCGCATCGTTTATCATAGCTATTCGTTGTCAAAGCCACTGGGTTCAAAAAATAGTAATAACGTATAACCATTTTGAAAAATAAATACTGGTGTTCTAGTGAAAACATTTCACTTTAATGTGTTATTTCTGCCTTCTTAACTGTACTAGTAAACATTAAATCTAAAAAACAAGTTGGTGAAATAAGGTATATAGCTATTTTAATGTGCCTTCATGATGAATCACATGAAATATTGCCTGATTTATTCGCATCCTTTTTTCAACTATTGTTTAATCTTGTCGAATGTTTAGTTGGCATTGATGGTCTTTGCTTTATAGCAAACTGAATGAAAAGTGTCCCTGTTTTACAGAGAAGACCATGGCGACTGCACAGTCCGCTGTAACGTTTGCAGTGTGCATCCTCGTGATAACAGAACTCATACTGGCTAAGAAAGACTACTATGACATACTGGGCGTGCCAAAGGATGCCTCTGAGAGACAGATAAAAAAGGCTTTCCACAAGCTTGCCATGAAATATCACCCAGATAAAAACAAGAGCCCAGATGCAGAGGCAAAATTCAGGGAAATTGCAGAAGGTACAGTTGTCTCTAAATTGTTGCGATATTAATATATGTTGATACTTGTACTTAATATAATTGTATGTATATTTTTATGTTTCAATCTTTGACCAGCTTATGAAACATTATCAGATGGCTCCAAAAGAAGAGAATATGACCAATTTGGCTCTGCATACTACTCTGAAGAATCCCAAAGTCGGCAAAGATCAACCTCTCATGAACCTTTCAGTTTTAACTTCGATGACATGTTCAAGGACTTTGATATCTACAGCCAGAACAGACACGCAAGACACAGAAGGCATTTTGATGAGCACTCCCGCTCCCATAAAGAGAGCCACAGCAGGCACAAGAGACACTTTCAAGGAGGATTTGGAGGAGGTGTATTTGATGATGTGTTTGAAGACATGGAGAAGATGTTCACATTTGAAAGACATAATAAACAAACTGAAAACCAATTTCATGGAACATCAAAACAGCATTGTAGAACAGTGACACAGCGAAGAGGAAATATGGTAACTACATATACAGACTGTACTTCATCTTGAAATTCTACAGAAAAAATAACTCCAATATTAGATTGCTAGAAAATATTATTTTGTTAGTTACCTATGTTGTTTTTGCCAAGACTAAAATACTGTTGCTGTAAATATTATATCTTATATTTACACCAGCAGGTTTGTCTTTTTTTTTTATATATCAGTAAACTGAAGTTTCAAACCACATTGCTTTTAGGCTCTAAGTTACTGTATGTTTCAGGTCATTTCAAACTAAAACTGATTGTAAATATTTTGACAGTATTTCCTAGTTCACTTTTAAATGTGCATTCTTACTGAAGTCTCTGTGTGTTTTGTAGTGATCACAATAGAGAGGAACAAAACCAACTTTTGTTGTAACAACTGCGAGCAGTGTCATCACTCTCTTGGTTTTGTTGATTTAATTAAGGATTTAAATTGTTGTAATTTTGAAACTAATGCCCTATGAGGCTCATCGGTCTTATGATGACATTATAAAATACTTTCACTCTGAATGTAATGTTCTATACTAATTTGTAGATATAAAATATTCTGTATGAAATACAGTAAACCTATTTGATACATTTTGAAATGTTCAAAAAATATTTTTGATTGAATGTACTGACACAATCTAACATAGATCTTTGTTTTTGTTTTTTATTTGTTTGTTGGTTGTTTGTTTTAGTTTTTGAAAACTCCTGAACCGCTATATTCCCAGACAAAAAAACTATGTTTTAAACTTAAAACTTAGCTTTGGTTACCTCAAACCTGATTTGCTGTGTAAATCAGAGTATTGATATGAGCTGGTTCTGCACTTTTATTTTTATTGCCTTAACAATGGTTTATGAACAATGTTTTCTTTATTAAATGCTAAATCAATGTGGTTGGTAAAGAACTTGTCATAAATCTATGTATTATTATATTTATAATAGCCTCGAGTTTAAATTGATGAGATAATCATGTTCAGTTTTCATCCAGAGTTGGTACAACTTTTAGTATCTAAATATTTTGCTCCGTTCCTTGGTTACTGTTGCGAGGGGTTTTGGTAAATTACAGGAAATGTAGTTTATAAAACACAAGGTCTTCTAGCAGAAACCGTGTGTGGACTTGTGCAAGACTCATTTTCCCGTGATGCAACTTTAAGCGTCAGCGTACGCAGTTCGTCGATCCCATGCGCCGATCTAAAGTGAAGCCAACAGCAGCAGCTTGTTTAGCCGTGGAGCTTCTGAATGACTTTGTACTGTGAGCCGCGGGGATAAGAGTTGTTTTTTGACAGACGGGCGAACTTAAATTAGCTCATGGAGGCCCTCATTCCCGTCATCAACAAACTACAAGATGTTTTCAACACAGTCGGCGCGGATATTATCCAGTTACCACAGATAGTTGTTGTAGGAAACCAGGTGAGAGAGAAATGTCACTTGACTCAAGGCTAGCAAGTGATTAGCTTGCACCAAGTTATTTTTTCTCCTCCCTCTGATTTAGTATCGCTTTTGTTTTCTCTTTTGTACAGCGTTTGTTCATTTTTGACCAATTATTTAACCACAAAATAATACTTTGCCATATACTCTGTACAACTAAGTTTGGATGGGTATGTCTTTGTCAAGACAAACTGAACCCAAAGATGTAACCAATTCAGTGTACAAATGTAAAGGTTTCTGGTTTTGGTTCGTTTGACCTACTTTAAGTTAAGTTTACTTTAGTTACTCTACTTGCGTTACCGACTTTCTTGGAACAGCTACTGCAATTGGTTAAGCTCTGCATTTGTAGCAATATAACTATTCACCCAATAGTTAATCTTTTACTAAAGATAGATATACAGTGTACCATTAAACCGTAATTAATCAAGAGTTCAGACTTCACTTCTAGCCTGTGTTGTGTATTACCGTCAGGGTAATAGGATGGGACTGCTCTGGACTATTTGGCAAGTGTCTAGGGCTTCACAGTATGAGACCTGGCACGTTCAGTGAATTTAGGCGGAATACTAGTTGCAGTATGTTGTCGTACTGGAGAATTGCCTTCTGTGAAGATATAGTCTATGGTGGTAGATTCAAGAGGTAACAAACTGGCTTCTAATTTTTAGTGAAGTATGTAACAACCCAGGATTTGTTATGATACTGTGTTCATTTTATATAATTTGCTCATAGTAGAATTCAAATGCAGTCTATTTTAAGTACTTGTGTTTAATGTCCAGTTACACCTTTTTTCCACAGAGCAGTGGAAAGAGCTCTGTTTTGGAGAGTTTGGTTGGGAGGGACATCCTACCCCGAGGCACTGGTATTGTCACACGGCGCCCCCTCATTCTACAACTGGTGCACATTGATTCAGATGACCGCAGGAAAACCAGTGAAGAAAATGGTAAAATAACTACTACTGATTATTACTTTCTCAGTAGATTTTACTACTGGTGCCTATTATTGTGTGAAAGGACTTACCTTAGAGATGTGCTTCTTATAGTTCACCTAACAGTTTTATCTTTTGTCATCTCTCTCTTCAACAACAGAATCAAAGAAACATGGACGATGTTACAAAGGTCTCCTATTCTCAAACCTATAAAAGTTGTTCATATACTACTATATTATTCTTTTTGTTAGCTTAAGCTTCCTTTTCATATTTTTTGGTTCCTGCACACTTTGCTTGCTTCATTGAACTATAGAGTAAAATTGGAGAGAATATTGTGATTTGGAAAAGTTTTGCAGCATTATACATTTTGCTGTAATCTTTTAAAAAGTCAACAACCATGGCTATGAGAAAAATTCAGATTTTTTACAAATACTATATAGCTTAGCAAGGAAGTAAATTGGTGCACATTTATTCAGTTTTTTTTTTTTTTTTTTTGCTTACATTTTAGTTTTCCCTGGTTGTCCTTTTCACTCCAAAACTCCCCAACTGTACATCTCTGGGGAGCTTTGTTTCCTGTCAAGGGCAACACAAACACATGAAACTTTATTACATTGAATATTCATTGTAAAACTGACTGACTGAAAAGCTACATCTTTCTACAATTAACCAATCACTATTTACATGTGTTGTTACAGGTATTGATGGGGAAGAATGGGGCAAATTTTTACACACTAAGAATAAGGTACTTATTTTTATTCAGGTTTTCTGTTTAAAAATACAGCTCTAAAAATGTGTATCTTTCTTGGTTATCTCCAAGAATTATTGACTGAAGAACATTTGTGCATCTGCTACTTGTTTTCAACAGCATATGTGTGTTGCATGTAACAAGATATGACACAGACCCCTGGGGCTAAAAATATTTATAATGCTGTGAGGTGAATGTCCTCTAAGGCAGTGGGACATGTAACCTCAAGTAGTCATTATGTATACTGTGAACAATAGGATTATTTTGTTATTATTTTTTATATAATTTAGTTTCTGATTTGTCATTTTTTACAATGGTTATCAATATTGTGTAAGAATTGTTCCTTTCTTCTTAGATCTACACAAACTTTGATGAAATTCGACAAGAAATTGAATCAGAAACAGAAAGAGTATCCGGTATTAACAAGGTATGTCTTTTGAGGACTGCCATACACCCATTATTGATGGTATAGTAAATGTTCCTTTTACTTCAGGGCATTAGTGATGAACCCATTCACTTGAAAATCTTCTCACCACATGTTGTGAACCTTACATTAGTGGACCTCCCTGGTATTACTAAGGTACAACAAATCTATTTACATTAACTTAAATATTCATGTTTCAATCATACATTTCTTCAAGCTTCATACATATTTGTTATAAACAGGTTCCTGTGGGAGACCAGCCCAAAGACATTGAGATTCAGATCAAAGATTTGATCTTTAAATACATTTCAAACCCAAACTCTATCATTCTAGCGGTGACAGCGGCCAATACCGACATGGCAACATCTGAGGCCTTAAAAGTGGCTCGAGAGGTGGATCCTGATGGTAATGTGTGTGTATTTTCACTTTTCTGTTGTTTATTTATTCCAGATGTTTTTGGGTTTGTTTTTTTTTTAGGCAGGAGGACATTAGCTGTGGTCACAAAGCTGGATTTGATGGATGCAGGGACAGATGCCATGGATGTCTTGATGGGCCGTGTCATCCCTGTTAAACTTGGGATAATTGGAGTAGTTAATAGGTACCACAATGTTGTTTTACATTTGGGAAATCAGAGTAAAGATGGATACAGTACTAGTATATCTAACCCACAATGTTACTGTCCCATTAGGAGTCAGCTGGATATCAATCAAAAAAAGGCAGTAGCAGATTCAATCCATGATGAATATGCCTTTCTACAAAAGAAGTACCCATCCCTTGCAAACAGAAATGGAACCAAATATCTGGCCCGCACGTTGAACAGGTTTGGTGTGCAAACCACACAATGCTGTGCTATTCACCTCAGATTTCTAAGTATAAACACTGAGCAACACTGTTTACTTTGCTACAGGTTACTCATGCACCACATCCGAGACTGCCTCCCTGAGCTGAAGACCAGGATCAATGTGTTGGCAGCCCAGTACCAGTCCCTGCTAAACGGCTATGGTGAACCTGTAGAAGACAAGAGCGCTACACTGCTGCAGCTCATTACGAAGTTTGCTGCAGAGTACTGCAACACAATAGAGGGCACAGCCAAGTACATCGAGACTGCTGAACTGTAAGTTATTCTGCTGTAATAATATCCAAGCACCACATAGGGGTGCTCTTTATCAAAACTACAACAACATTTGGTCCCAACTGTTCACTGTATTTGGGCACCGATGTGTTTCAGATGTGGTGGAGCAAGAATCTGTTACATTTTCCATGAGACATTTGGTCGAACATTAGAGTCTGTCGATCCACTGGGCGGCTTAACGACAATTGATGTACTCACAGCAATCAGAAATGCAACTGTATGTTTATGTTAATTTCTTATTTATAGTCCTTCTTGAAATGTGTATCAGAAACTTAAGAGCCCTGTGTTTTGGCAGGGCCCAAGACCTGCTTTATTGTGCCCGAGGTCTCATTCGAGCTACTTGTGAAGAGGCAGATCAAGCGCCTGGAGGAGCCCAGTCTGCGCTGTGTGGAGCTGGTGCATGAGGAGATGCAGCGGATCATACAGCACTGCAGCATCTACAGCACACAGGTCCCATCCAAACCACATCTCAAGTCTTCAGTGTAATGGCAGAGAATGTTGTATAAATTATGTTTATTCCTACAGGAGTTGCTGAGGTTTCCAAAGCTTCATGATGCCATTGTGGAGGTGGTCACATCACTCCTTAGAAAGAGGCTACCTGTCACCAACGAAATGGTTGGAAATTCTGCTTTACTTGACTTAACTGTATCAAGATTAAATAAAGAAATATGATGCCTTTTGCCTAACCAGTGTTCTGTTTAGGTTCACAATTTAGTTGGTATTGAGTTGGCGTACATCAACACTAAACATCCAGATTTTGCTGATGCCTGTGGACTCATGAACAACAATATTGAAGTAAGAATCAAACGCAACCTAAATAAAACAACTCACAATATATAGCCTGTCTAACTCTACAAACAGAACTTTTTCCATGATTTTGTAGGAGCAAAGACGTAATAGAATGAGAGAACTGCCTTCTGCTGTGCCCAGAGACAAGGTAAAGTCTGTCATATTTTCTTCCACATTTGATGTCACGTCATTATTTGACCACTGATCTTTTCCTCCTGCTGTATTTTCAACTTGCATATGTCTGTGCCATCCCTCCATGTTTTCTATGGTGTTCTCTGTTGTAGTCTCTTAAAAGCCCTGGTGGGCAGTCAGTCTCTCCCACTGAGCCTCCAGACAGTGAGGCCTATAAGGTTTGTGCTGTCTGCGTAATCCCTGCTCACGCCTGAAGCATGACAATTAATTTTTCTTTTTTTTTAAAGCACATGTTGCATGAAAATGTTGAGACTGAAGAGTTTGGTGTCATGGGCATTTCAGTAATTTATCAGAATAATGGAAATATATCTCCTAATACTCCCATGTTACCCAAATCTCATTTTTGTTGCCGTTGTTTGACACTGGAATTCCAACACAAATATGGCTTTACTGTATACTCTTTACTGTGTATTCTCACACCTTGCATGTTCATGGAAATGCATTTTTCTTTCAAACAGGCAGTAGCAGGTAGTTCTCAGAGCAGCTCTGTGAGTGAACAGGGCGATGGGAACTCGGGCGGCTGGAGGGGGATGTTAAAGAGAGAAGAAGGAACCACTGCTCCACTTCTTGCAAGTCCACAGAAGGGCCATGCTGTCAACCTGCTAGACGTGGTACAAACATTAGCACTTTTATCTCTCTCTTCATTCATTTACTTTAATTGTTTTGCTTTAGTATATCTGAAAATACTAGATAGTGGTCATGTTTTATCATACATTTAGAGAGGATTTAAATAAAATGGTCCTGATGTGAATACTGTATTTTTATTGGCAGCCTGTTCCTGTATCCAGAAAATTGTCTGCCCGAGAACAAAGAGACTGTGAAGTGATTGAGCGCCTCATCAAATCATACTTCCTTATTGTGCGCAAAAACATTCAGGACAGGTAAAGACGTACTCTATTTATATTTATACCCTAATACAAAATATCACTGATTGTATATTCCTTTGTTGTTGATGCCAGTGTCCCAAAGGCAGTGATGCACTTCCTGGTGAACCACGTGAAAGACTGTCTGCAGAGTGAGCTGGTGGGACAGCTGTACAAAACAGCTCTGCTCAACGACTTGCTCACAGAGTCTGAGGACATGGCCCAGAGACGCAGTGAGGCTGCAGACATGCTCAAGGTTTGTTTACTACACTCAGCTGTAGATGTAAACAAGCAAAACATATAACCATAATGTAAAATGAACTCACAGTTATTCCTTCTATTTAGGCGTTGCAGAAAGCCAGCCAGGTGATTGCAGAGATAAGAGAAACACATCTTTGGTGAAGCTGGAGTTGTATATTTAGCTTCACAACAAATGGACATATGCTATTAAAAACAATCCATCATTACATACCTGCTGTGTCTCAAATTTGCAAATCACAATGCAGAAACCTCCAATGCACTGCTGTCCACAATGTATTATAATGTAGTTTTAATGTACAGTAAACACCAGCCAGTCAATCCTCTTCCCATTGTTCATTTTTATAAGCAATAATTACATAACGCAATAAATAGATAATGCTATTCATATCTACATGAAGCTATGCTGGATTATGTTTTTATTGTACATCTAAATAAAGTAAGAAAAACAATCTCTTTGCATCAGTTATCCAGTCTAAATAACATTAAATCAAATGCTTTTTCATATTAACTGTGACAACCTAAAATTCAAACTCATGTGATTAATGACTACCATGCACTTTTACACTGTTGCGCAGACTTTGATTCTTTATTTATATACGTTTTACATAAGATAGATGTGATTGATAGTCAGATCATACTTGTTGTTACCATAGCTACACACAAACATGGAAAAACATAGTGTAACATAAAATCCAAGTGCTTTTGTCAGATTCTGCTACATTTTGTCCAGTTCTTCACCTCAAACGGCCGCTCATCTTCCCCTTACTGCGACCTTTGGCACTGTAAGAAAACACGAGAGAAATAAAACAAAAACATAATTATATATTTTGTATCTTTTTAGTGTCTGTTTACTTGCCTCTGGTGATCTTGGACACGTGCCAGTAACAGGTTGATCTGCAAAAACATTCAAGAAGGAGCCTCACAATTGGTTTATTAAAACACATTGCTGTTTATTTCCAACTCCTTACGTCGTATTTCTGCCTTTTCAGTGTTTCTGTCAGGTCAAACTTCTCCGCCTCAAGACCCATCAGCCACTGCCATAGTTCATTGGCTTTTTCCCTAAAACATAAAACCACAGTGTTAAACCCACTTCAGCTTTCACATTGTAATAAGTAGTGCGTATCTCTGTTACTTGAGTTTGTCTTCATTCAAATGATCTATGTTGAGTGGCTTCCTGCGCTCAGCCAAGATTTTCTTTTTCTTCTCTCTCTCAGTCTGTTTCTTGCCACCTTTTCTGTTGTCAGCCTGTTTTTAAGGAACCTGGGTCAGTGGACAGCAGGTGACCCAATGCAAAGGTTGGTCATACAATTAAAAAAAATACCTTTGGTCCCATGGTGGTTAGGACTTTCTTTTTCTTAGCGTCGTCATCCTGTTTCTTGCGATGTTCCTCTTGCTCTTTGCGCTCCTTCTCTTCCTGCAAATTATAATGAATCCATGTTTGTTACTTAGGTATTACTTAAAGGTGCTCTATTTAATTTTTCTAGGGTGGGGTCCATCACCTGCTTATCTACATGGACTGGAATAGTTATTGCTTTGCCAAGAATGTTCCACAGTTGAACATCATCTATCTATCACTATCTATCTATCATTACTATTCAATGTTTTTAGTGCTTTAAAATGCCTTGAGAATTTTTGCTTGCCTCTCTGCAGATTTGATCTGTAATGTAATGCCACACTGGAATGTTCCAGGCAAAGGAATAACATTCCCATGGAGACATCTTCAAGTGGCAAAACACTGATGGGGAGTATTATTTAAATGTAGTCAGCTACATGATATTTTTATTGAAACTACTGCTTAATAGTTGGCATAAACTGTCTATACTGCAGCTACATACTACTCAGGTGTTTTAAAGAATACAGTTTCTATCATATTTGGTATGGACATTATTTTACCGCTATTCTGGCCTGTCTCTCCTTCTCCTTCTCAGCTCGAACCCTCTGCTGATCTGCTCTCTCTGTACGGCGCTTCTCCTACAGAAACATAATACAAAAACATAATAACATGAAGCAGGAAAGATAAAAAATTGTTTTACTTTTGTTTTTTGAATGGCTGAAGCTATTACAATTCTGTTGACAAGGGCAATAAGCTCCTCCTCCTCTTTCTTCCTCTGGACGAAGTGAGCCTCGATTAGAGACTGCAGCTCAGACAGGTCCTTCTCCTGGCGCTTTCTGTGGATGTCCTGTAACAAGAATTTGGGAGGAAAACATTTATAGATGCTTCTTCATAAATAAACTTTGAAACAAGAACTTCAGGATAGAGACTTTCAACTTACATCAAAATCCACTTTCTCCCCATCTGGGATCTTGGGCACTGAGATGTTTGTCATAAACCTGTAGACAGACTATTGTTAGGGATTCTTTTTTTTCCTAGTGCCATCTAATGTGTTAATATATTGTAAATGACAACATACTTTGGCTTGGGTTTTGAGTCATCTGGAAAAAATACAGTTCACATAAATAATAAATAAATAAACATATGGTCATATGAAATTATATAATGGCAGTGGTTTTAATTGGAGGTGATTTTTTCTTACCCTCTCCCTCCCTGTAATGGAAAAATAAGTAATTAGATTGTGATATAATTCACTAATATAGTAATATAATACACCTGTAACTATGTCAAAGGAGTTACTTACTGAAGCTCCTCTTCGACTTCTTCTGTGTCAGACATGTTGTTTTGAATGGACTCTGCAAAATGGTTTCATATCAGTCTAATTATAACACTAGGATTAATAGAAATGCCAGATACAGTTACACCATTTACACAATGTGTAACAGGGACCTTTATTGACCTCTTAGAAAAGATAACATTCATACATTTAAATACATTTTTAACATACATGTGCTTAATATTATATTTTGCAATATTTTTTATGTTGATTACACTGGATTTATTAATTATTGATGGCACAAATTATTTAATGTCATTAGATGCTGATCTCACTGAACCACCCAAAATGTACACATTAACAATATACAACTGTGCATGACTTGCATCTCTACTAAACCAGTGGAAAGATGAGATTTGAGATCCAGCAAAAATTACTAACTATGAAATTACTCACAAGAATAACTTCCAATATCCTACTCAAAACACATCTTATTGAAGCACTTAAATATAATAATAATTATAATTAATTAATTAAGATACAGTTACGGTTGTCACCAGTTTGGTGACAGGTAATACATCTTAGAGATTACTTCAAACACTGCACACTAAAGACTTTTAATCAAGTAATTTTCTCAGTGATGAGTAGCAATTTAAAATCTGGTCCTTACCTGTCCGACTGAGCTCAGAGTGGTGTCAGCTCCTTGAAGTTTACTTTAAGGTGGATAATGTGGATAATAAAGGATCCTCACTGACCCCAGCCCAGCCCTCAGAGTCATGTGACCACCAGATCCTATGGTCCATCAGACGTCTATTGTTAGAGCTTCACACACACACACAAACACACGCATGCGCGCACACACACATGCACACACGGACTTTCACTCCTTAGGTGTCAGCAGCCCATATTTTCAAAGTTTCAAGTTTTTAAAAACGTATACTGTATCTCACAAACAAAAGGTGAGTGGTGGAAGTTCAATAAAAAGCAAGTTTTATTTTTGCTCAAGCAATAAAGGCAGGCAAACACAAGTTTTAATGCATTTAAAGGTAGATGTAATTACAGACATTTGTAAAAATGTAAAACATACTTCAAGTCTTTGGGTTATTAATACTTTGTTACTCAAATAACTTGAAAACTTGCTTTAAAAAAATCTGATTTCTAACAGTTTATTTTCTCTGAAGTTTCTACTGAAAGTGCTTACAACATACTGTAGTATTAGCATGATCTGTCTATTTCAAAAAGCCCCCCTTAACTGGAGTGTGCTCAAAAGCGGTGATCTCTAAAAATAATGCTACTGGCTCATGAATGCGAAAGCATATTAACATTTATGTCTCCTACACGTATCTGTAAATTATATAAAAACACACATTTGAACAATAGATGAATTGATAGAAGACAGTGTAGCAGAAGTAGCAGACAAGACTTAACATGATCCAAATCTTTGTACTGGATTGGATTCTTCAATATCAGAAGATGCTTTATATCATCAGAAATATTGTAGATCTTGCAGAAAGAAGCAAAAACACAATTAATATGAGTAATATTGTAACAACAGATGCTAGCTGCTGCCCCTCATTTCATTTCTTTTAAAATCATGGGAATCTGCTTTACTGTAGCTAGCATGTATCGGTCCGTATAATCTTAAAAGAACAAACCTTTTTTAATTGCCAGACAATTTGAAAGTAAGGACATAATACATAACATATAAATAGAATAAATTTCCAAACAGCATCCGGCCTTGTAGGTCTATTTTTAATACGATAAACCTGTGGCTGAAACTTGAACACACTTCTAGCTCAGTTACTGTTTGGCCCAAGTGAGGCGTTATAACAAGTGTTACTTCTAATGAGCCACTAACGTTCCACTTTGAGAGTTCAATGGTCTGGTCCATAGAGAGACAGTGCACCTAACCATCACACTGAATACTGAGCCTGGTTTGATGCTGACATTGTCTGTAATCCTCATGAGAGCTTAGTTGTAATGTGAAAATCATGCAGCTCCAGTTTAGAATGCCTAACAGCCACCAACAATGAATGGCTTGAACGTTTGTTCAGGGCTTTTATATTGAGAAACAAGGTCAGGGTCTTTCAAATATAGATGTTGGTGGGACACAAGTCAAAAATCTGAAGCAGCAGGTTTGATTTACAGTGAACCTCTCATCTGGCCGCATGCGATGAGGGATAGGGCCCAACAGCATTGTCTGAAGGTTATGGGCTGTTGTCCTAAACTCTTCTTCCCTCAGGACTTATCACAATAAAGACTTGTTCATGTGGCATGTGTTCACAAAAAGCTTGTACTGTCAAAGGCATTCTAATAAGTTTAATGCCACTGTGTAATTACCTTATATTCAATAGACAGGGAATTTACCTTTAATCTCACCATCTCTTAACTCCTCCTCCCAACTGCAAAAGAAATAATGGGGAAAATTATCATTTAGAAAATGCACAAAATCCACAATAAAATGAAAAGGGTTTTATGTAGTTTTACAGAAGTGCCTCCAGGCTTGATGTCCATATACTACCCAATATATAATTTCTTTCTATATTTTACATTGCATGTGCCAAGTTCTTACCTTGCCGGGTGTTGAGGTCTTCTTGGGTTCCCACATGCCACGTTTGTTTGCACTCTCACTTGGTTTTACATCCTGCAAAGACAATGCAATGTTTCATTATTATCTTTTCATATTAACGATGGTTGGTTGACCTCAGTGTTTAACACTTAAGATATTTCACCCATAAACCTAATGTCAGAACAATGCTATTTGTCACACAGCATGACCTCATAGTTAAATGTCTCCAGAAGATGCACTGGGATTAACAAGTGCAGTTCCACTTTAAGAAAAGAACACAATGTGCCCCACAGGCCAAGTTTAAAGTTGATCCTTTTTATGGTACAGATTCACCAATATATTTAGAATTTTTTTAAATGTCAGGTCTTTTTGGTAACGAAAAATTATGTTAGAAATTAAGATATTTACTGTCAACCTTTTTGAATTAGAACTTCACCAAAGTTATGTTTGTTATGGCTTAAAATAGTCACAGAACAATACAGTAAGAGTCAGAGTGGTCAGTAAAGAGGTGCTGAAAGACAAATTTGGTAAGTTGTCTGAAATCAGACACCTAAAGCTTGGTATCATTGTAGAAACAATACAAATATTCTGATAATAGACTCCAGTTGCACTTGAATTTAACTTGGTCAACAAATGTCCATTGTTTTCAGTTTATTGTCTTTTCTATTATATTTTCTGTGGAACTATCTCCATGTGATGATGTTGCTCACCAGAAAGCATCCTGGACAAAAGTCACATATCAGCAGCAGCCAACAAAGGCCTAGCATGTTGATTTGCAAATGAGCATTTAGCATGTGTAGAATATCAGGGGATTAGTCGGTCAGGCTAACAGCAGTGTGTTACAATAGCTGCATATAGAGAGAACAAGACAGGGATTTGAAAGGCTTACCGTGGGCTTTGCTGGTGTTGTCTGGGGTGGAGGAGATGCTGCCACTTCAGCTGCAGGTGGCGCTGTCTTCTCTGGCTCAGCAGGTTTTGACATCCGACTGCTCAGACGACCGGGCACACCTACTTTATTACCAGGGGTCTCCTGAATAAAGACCAGAAAAATGTATCTCACAGTATAGTTGATTTGTACACTAACAACATTTAGACTTAATGATTGTACTTTATTAGCAGGAGCTGGACTGGACTCAGTGCTGCCACTAAAGTTGCCTTTTTCCCACATGGTCTTTATGCTCCGAGCTCCTCCAGTAGGAATGTCTGTCACTGTGGGTTTGGGGGATTTGACTTCTTTCTGACCCTGCATGTGACAAAGTATAAATAATTTTAACTTGTTTCAGAAATGTAACATAAAATCATAGTGTTATTGGATAGTGTTACCTGTACGGCAGAGTTAAACTGTTCTAGTCGGCTGCCAATCTTTGAAACAATGGGGGTATGAGAGATTCTGCTTGGCGTGCTGCAAACAAACATAGTATAATAAACACTTAACATCATGTATTTCAGGAAATAAAGGTTGTTGGATTTTTTTAGCTCACGTTTTCTGGGCTGATTTGCTCAGGAATTCTGCCTTCTCCCCAATCTGTCTCAAAGTAAATATGAGGATTATAGATTATTTAAAAGAAAACAGAATACAACATTTAAAGCTGTCATATGCCCTCTGTGTGCTCACCTTTGAGGATCCTTTAGGGCTAATGGCAAATGCAGGTTTGGTTGATTCCCCCTCCAACTGTTTCTTCTTCTCTGCTGCTTCTGCTCTTCTTTTCTCTATTTCCTCCTTCATCCTCTTTCTCTCTTCCTAGAGTCAAGTAAAGCATATTTGACATGATTTTATGGCAAACCTTTTTTGTGATATATATCAGGCCATGATTCAGGCTTGAGCTGGAATTCAGACTTTTTTTTTTGAAAGATCAGACTCAGCACCAGCATAGGATCTGTTCTCTTGAACAGTCCTTATTATATTTATATAAGTTTGCCCCACCAATTCACATTTTATTCTGCGTATATTACTGAGTTTGGGTAATATATTATTTCTAAATCCACACTCCAGTGACCTGTTCTTTGGCCTTCTTGTCCTCCAGTTCCTGTCTCTTTTGTCTCTCCTCTTCCTCCAGAATCCTCCTCCTCTCCTCTCTCTTCTTCTTCAGCTCCTCCAGCTCGGCCTCAGCTCCCTGCTGCTTCTGCTTCATCTTCTCGATTTCTTCACTCTCAGCTTCATTTCGTCTCTGTTTCAGCTCCTGGAGCTTCCTCTCTGCCTCCTTCTTCTCTGCGTCCTCTGACTTTGAGAAGGGGGCATTTTCCCTGAAACTAAAAGTACGGCACATTGACAAGTGACTCTCTTTAGCTTAAAGGGCCTGTACCAGTATATAGTAAAATAAACAAATAAGTAAATGACTAAATAAATAAATAAATAAATAAATCCATCCATCCATTTTCTTCCGCTTATCCGGGGCCGGGTCGCGGAGGCAGCAGTCTAAGCAGGGACTCCCAGACTTCCCTTTCCACACACACTTCCTCCAGCTCCTCCAGGGGGAGCCTGAGGCGTTCCCAGGCCAGCCGAGAGACATAGTCCCTCCAGCGTGTCCTGGGTCTTCCCCGGGGCCTCCTCCCGGTGGGACATGTCCAGAACACCTCCCGATAAATAAATAAATAAAAGCTAATTGTGAAAAGATTAGAAATTATTTTAGTGGTTGACCAGCGGGCAATTAATTTTTGATTAGATGACTGGTCAAATGATTATTTCTGTTGAACATTCAGACTTAGAAATAGAAATATTCTAGAAATAGATTTTAACCAAATAAAGATTGAAATATAGGGATTGACTATCATAAATTGTTTTTTTTTCTTTTTTGACATTTAAAACAAATTTTGGCATGTGTTTTCATTGTTAGTGCTTTTGAGATATTGATTATGATTATCAAAATACAGCTTTTATTTATTTATTTATTTATTTATTTTATAGTCAATAGTCAACAGTCTATTAATCGTTGCAGCCCTACTAATGCCTATACATTTTATACGGCATTTTGTTGGTTGAGAACAATAAGAAAGCCACTGCCTGTGATTATCCCAGAAAGTTGTTTCTCTGTCATGGTTCAGCTTCAGAGAGAGAGAGGAGACTAACAGGGCAAACAGTTCTGAAACAGTCTCAGTATACAGCACATCATTTATGTAAAATTTTCTTACCTTGGTTTTTCAGTTTTCTTAAGTTTACTCTCAAAGGGCGATTGAAGCTTTTTGGGCTCATTCTAACACCAGAAAAATATAAATATTAACATTGAATATTAAAATGATAACTAACTTATTAGTATTATTATTATTATTATTATTATTATTTGAACTGCACCTTTTCCTTGAATCCAAATTTCTTAGATTTTTCTTCCTTTGTGCAAGCATAAAAATATAGGTTAGTATGTGTTTACCGTTTTGTTTTTTGTCAGTCAGTGAATTTATTATATCAACTGTACATATAATTACTTAGTAGAATAATATTAGCAATAAGAGACACATTACCTCTTGTTTTTTCTTCTTCTCCTCCAGTTCCATCTTCTTGCGTTTCTCCTCCTCCTCCTTCTTCCTCTTGTCCTCTGCTTCTCTCTTCTTCTTCTCTTCCTCCTCTCTCTTCTTCTTCTCCTCCAGCTCTTTTTTCCGTCGCTCCTCCTCTTCTTTTTTCTTCTTCTTCTCCTCTTCCTGTCGTTTTAACCTCTCCTCTTCCTCCTTTTTCTTCTTCTCTTCTAGCTCCTTCTTCCTTCTCTCCTCCTCCTCTTTCTTTTTCTTCTCCTCCATTTCTCGTTTTAGCTTTTCCTCTTCCTCCCTCCTCCTCTGCTCCTCCTCTTGTCTCCTCCTCTCCTCTTCCTCCCTCTTTAACCTCTCTTCCTCTTCTTGTCTTTTTCTCTCCTCCTCTTTCCTTTGCTGTTCTTCCTCCTCTTTTCTCCTCTGCTCCTCTTGTTCTTGTCTTTTTTCGTCCTCTTCCTCCTGTCTTTTCCGTTCCTCTTCCTCTTGTTCTTGTTGTTTTTTCTCCTCTTCTTCTTGACTTTTCTCCTCTGCTTCCTCTGTTTGTGACTCTTCCTCTATTTCCTCTTTCTGTCCTTCTTCCTCCTGTTCTCCCTCTTCTTCCTCTTCTTCACCTTCTTCAACAGTGGGAGTCACTTCCTCTTCTGCATCCTTAGACTGAGCCTCTTCTTCTCCTGCATCTGTCTCTGCAGGCTTTTCCTCTGCCTGCTCCTGTTGTTTATTTTTTATTTGTTTATCAGTTTTGCACAATTAAAACACAGAAACTGATGGATATCGTTGCTCATACCTCATTTACAATGGCAGAAGCACTTGTGTCTTCTTCAGGTTGCTGCTGTGAACAAAATAAGCATGGACAAATTCTCTATATTTTAGTTTCAGAAATAAACCTCTTCTACAAGAATTAGTTTCATACAAATTGATTCACTGGCACACTATTTTCAGTATTTAAGGATAAGATATTGCAAAATTCTTTCTGTCACTATCTGTTCTATCTAGCCTGTCACAATAATTACTATATCAACTTATTGTTTTTATTGTTTTATATATGGTAGATGGAATAATATTTTTATTATATATTATATTATATTATATATTTAATATATAATAATTTTTATTGAGTGAACCTTTTTGGTATTTTTTTCTGCAATATAATAGGATTTGAGCTGAAGGATGAATTATGAACTAAAATTATAAACTAATTCTTTACTAAGGTGTTGCATTCTTCTATTTATTTACTTATTTATTGTAGCTCAACAATATTTCACTTTATTGTATTTTCAGTTTCAATTATTTACACATTTAGAATACTTTTTTACTGATACTTCTGCTTTATGGTTTGGTTTTAATATTGTCTATATTTACTTGACCAAAATATCGCACTTCAGAATTTGTTATTGTGACATGCCTACTTTTTATGTCAAAAGAATATGGGTCAGTGAGCTTATAATAGTCTTGTATCATAAAAAATAAGCACTATTTTGACAATACTATTTGCAAGCTTATATGATTTCATATAGATGAGTTCTTTTTTTCTTGTCCGGTCTGTACTGTGTTGTATTTTCACTGAAACATACCAGTTATGTAGTTTTTCTCATCATTACCTCTTCCTCCTGTGTCTGCTCTTCCTCTTTGTGAGTTGAGTTCAGCTCCTCTTCCTCCTGGGCTTGTCTTGCTTGTGCCTGTGCCTCCTCTTGCTCAGACTGGGCCTCTGTGGTGCTGCTGCTGACAGGGGTCTGCTCTTCCTCAGGTTTATGGTCTGTCCCGTCGCCGTTGGCAACAGGAGGAGCCTGCTCAAGCTCCAGAGACTTCTGCCTCTCCATAGCGTCCTTCATCCTCTTCTGCCTGCGCTCCTCTCTCCGGGCCAAACGCTCGAGTAATGCCTGGTCATCGTCCAGCCCTGAGGTGAGGTTAGAGCCGCTGCTAGAGTCTGTCTCTGTCACACTGTGAAAGTCACAAGAAATGCATTCATTAATGGTAGTGACAAACTGCTGCTACTCATTTATTCTAACTAGTGAGTCCTTCCTACCATTAACTTTAAAGGGGCAGAATTGTCTTTGCACAAAGCAGTGTATTTTGTGCTAGTACAAAGAAAAATAAATAGAGAAGTTTGCATTTGTAAAGATGCTTAGAAAACTAAATCAAATCACTACATCCTAGACCAAAATTCCTTGGATATCAGATTACACATATTGAATTAGGAATACAACCAAGATCATATAAATGGAGATTTTGGGAGTTGTTTAAAATTGCCTGTATTCTATTATTATTTCTAAGCTAAAGAGACAGAAAATGTATTAATTTACAAGACATTGACAGACAGAGTCTGAATGTTTTGAAACTAAAATGTAAAAGAAGAAAACACACACATAACATTAGCTTTACAATTATGTCATAAGAACATTCAACATATTTTAATAAGATCTGTGATGTGATGCTGTACTTATTGGTGTCAATGACTTGATCGTTGGCCTCAGGGTCCTCCATCTCTCTCATCTTCTTCCTCTCTTCTCTGGCTCGTCTCCTCCGCTCACGAGCTTCTTCTTCCTCCTCTTCATTTGTTGTTCCCGTCCTGAAACACAATTCACTTTTTATTTCATCTACCAAAAAGAGTTATTCACTATTCATTATTCACCATTCACCATTCATTATTTTGGCTATTGACTTAGTAACCAAACGCTGTGTTTTACCATGCGTAATGGGGCAGGCAGTGTGTAACTTTCCCAACAGTGCAGAGATAATTCACAAATGTCATAGTTTAAAGATGGAAACTACAAACCTACAACTGGTCATCAGATACTAATATTTACACAGAAATGTACAGAACCCTAATGCAAATAGCAGTAAAACAACCCCAATCTAAAAAGTTCTACCATCAAATTTACTAAGACGAGGATGTTTTGAATATAAAATTGTGGGAACATGTTAGAGTGATGTTTTACAATTTTCTAATGTGTATTTGATAAAATATAAACTAAATCTAAATTAGGTGAAAATCTGAGTGAAAAACATTCCAGGCAGGGACAGCAGTATTTTTGGAAGCCACTCGAGTAGAAAAAGGCAAAGTTCAAGACTCAACTGCTGCAGTGTGGGAAAGTGACCTTAATGAACTTGATTTGACAAAATTAGTGAATGAAGGTAAAGTCCACTTGCATGGAAAATATTTTAATCATGATAACTTTAAAGGTTCTGTAGACAAAATGCACCTATTTCTTTTGGTCACTAGGTGGAGTGGTGGGCCATATTTGACAGTGTTTTTTCCCTTCTAAAAAGGGACAAAATAATAGCCAAAGAGCTGTTATGTTTCTCAGCATGTCAAGTGGAATTTATGTTATGTCTAACTTGGTGGATTAATGTATAGGGGGCAATAAATAAGCAAAACACAATGCTTTGGACCGGTTGTTTGTAGAGACATGTTCTAGGGTAACACTAAAACATGTTTTGTGTGCACTCTGCTAGTGGGTTTGCCACCTGCTTGTCTCCATGGAAAGGTTTGCCTGGCAGTAAACTGTAGCATTTATTCAGTTATGTGTGTTTTTATTGCAAAAAAAAATACTGTGGAAAAAAACATGCATTCTTACTGTGACTGGGCTCGCCTCTACACAGATGTATACAAGTTTAATGCTATACTGTAAAACATTGCATGCAAAGCAACTATATCACCATGGAAACAAGCAGGTGGCAGACATGCCTCCAGAAAAGTTACATATTGCACTATGTGCACTGTAAAGTGCACTTTAATGTCCAGTTATATTTTTGTTACAACAATATAGGGTTCCATGTAGAATGAGTGATGTGCTTACTAATGACTGATGCAGCATTTCAAATGTTTTCCTGAAGTCCTCATAGAAATCAATAAATAAAAACAAAATTTTAGTCTATTAACCTTGATTACAATGTGCTCAATTACATTGCTGATAAATAGTGGTCAAGGTGGTTAACGTGTCAATTTTAATATACACAGATGATCACTCACTTTTCAGCCTCCTGCCGCATCTGCTCTCTCCTCTGCCTCCTCAGCTCCATACGACGGTCAAAGTCGTCATCCATAATGTCACGATCAAAGACTTAACCTCTTACTGTCAAACATGCAAAACAAAACACAGCCACAATCTTCAGAACAGATCATAATACAGTTTGAACTGTCCAGACTTTCAGGTTATTAGGCAACCAATTTAGCCACTGTGGTGGTAAGGCCATAGGATTACTGATCACACACAATAATAAAGGCAGCCAGTTAATCTGATCAAATCCACTAAACAGATCACAACAACATAATTTTAAATACCTGAGAAGAGTCAGAGTTTTGCTCCATAGACAATGGCCTCAGCCTGAAGTTCATATATCAGCCTCTGTACTGTCTGGCTTATATCTTGCCCTGTGCCGCTCTGAGTCCCTGCTGGTTCTCTGTGGATGGGACTATACCAGAAAAGGCAAAGGCTGCCTCTCTTCCTCAACCTCCTCCTCCTCCTCTGTCTGACTCCTGCTCAGTCTCACTATTGACCATCACTGTTTCTAACCATCTTAAAAACTAAACCTTACATTCCTTTTAGTTATTGGTTGTTTTATAACAAAGAGTAGACCTAAGCATTTTGTGTCCCATGGGTTGAATCTGGTCAATCATGACCTACATGTGGAAATAAATGAACATTATTTAACACAATATACTTACAAAAATTGTGTTTTTGATTTTAAATGTAGTGGTGTTAAGTTAAAGCCATTCTTAAGTTTGTTAGTACTGGCTATAAATAATAGTAATAGTAATAGTAATAGTAATAGTAATAGTAATAGTAATAGTAATAGTAATAGTAATAGTAGCAATATGAAACAAAGAGGTTCTACTGCAAATTGTCTAAAATAATAAGACAAACAATAGCCTTGTGGCATATGAAAAGGTGTGAGACCGAACATGGTGTTTATATGAGGTGGCTCTAAGCAGGGACCCACTAGTACATTATCTTTTAGTATCTTTCTTCAGATCTGACACAGCCCACCAACAATGTTGAGTATGCACCAGTTTAGTTTTCACTGTGACCATCTCCATATACAGTCACACTTTGATGGCAACAATGGCCCAGTGAAGTCCGTTTTAAACATCCTCTGACAGAATTTCCATGGAATAAAATATGTTTGCTTTTTTCAAACATTGTCATTTGTAATAAAATAATGGATAAAAACTATGGTCACTATAATCTGATGATAATGTCCTATACTTTTGTAGAAGTTACATTGTTACAAATTAATTTTCATTCTTTGGGATAGCCTAAATACAATGCACACTTTGTAACTTGATAAAATTTTTCTCATTAGACACAGCAGATGAACTTCTGGTTCCATCAGTGGTTCTGTTCACATTAAACTGAGAGTGTAATGTTTACTTCACCATTCATCTACCTCACCAACTGAACGACTTCAACAAAAATGACAAGATAAATCGTATTAACAATGTAATTTGTGGCATTGCTGCTTATGTGTATTTGTGTTACATTAACCTTACTGCCCTGTGACATTAGTGACATTTCCATGACGGGGGACTGGATTTCATGAACTTCAAACTGGAAAACGTCGAAAACTACAAAGCATTGTTATGCATTTAGAGACAATAGTTACGTTAATACGTTCAGTGGGGTCAACTATAAGACTTGTGTCTTTGTTAAATGGGAAAGAACTTTAATACTGCTGAACACATTTTCAGATAAACAGTGGCCAAAGAGATGATTGCCATCAATCAAGAAGCCATGACTGCTTGCTCCACTTGACCAAACATGGTCACATATGTAAAAGTCCTGACCAGGAAATAGATTCCACACAGTTTACAAGCCAAAACATAGAGCTGTCTTTTTACGGCTAATTAAAGGAGTTAGTGCACAGTTCGGTTCAGATGCAGTCTGTTTTTACAGGGCATTCCTACATCCAAACAACACTGAGATCTGACAGGAGGGAGCTGCAAAACTGTAAGTAAAACAGTGAACATTCAACAGGGCAGACAGTCTAGCACTACGACATAGAGGGTACTACAGTAATGCTCAAGCCAAGTTACAGTTTCCCTTGGAGTTTGTTTAGCGGAGAACGATGCAACACAGTTCACTCCCACTCTGCATCCTGCTGTGAAGTCCTCCTTTTAAGGAAGAGAGCTGCACTGTTAGTCCAAGTGTCACTGCTTGGCAAGGTACAAGGCCAAAGACACACAACATGGTTTATTCCAACAAATACCTGCTGCCGCAGAATGGCAGCCCCAGAATAACTTATTTCCAGAGGGATGGAAATAAATGTCAAATGCCTCATGTGGAAAATGCAGCTGGGAAAAGTTCAAATAGATTAAATGGTAATTTACAATGATAGAGTGATTTAAATGAATGGAGATTGTTATATACTTTTACTTATTACTTATTCTCTTGAAATATTTTTTTTTTTCTTCACCTGACTAACTTAGACTTACCGTAGTAATCAATGCATCTGGTCAAAAAGGACACATACAAATAAAGAAAAAAATTAAATGTGCATAATGTTTAAAGTTATTCCACCTTTACAGGCAGCACTTTGCAATAATAATAATATTGCAGTTTTACTTAATACTATGTCTTTTTATATTTATTTCATCAAAAGGAGGTGGGCTATATATGTTTACTCTCCCTAACAACAAAATTTATGGTCACAAACTCTTACACCTTACACCTCAGTCCTTATCTTCACTACCATCTAAGGAATAGCGAGCCCGGCTTGGCATGTCCACCACAGCAAGCAGCTCTTCCACTGTCAGATGTCTGCATACAAGTGACAAAAGCCAAATTATAGTGCTCATATATCTTAGGGAGAGGGGTGGGTTAAGCAGTGTTAAGTTAAGGGAGATTGGTGGAAAAAGTCTTATCTAATTTAAGATCCAATGTATTTGTGAAAGTTTAATGCATTCTTATAGTGTTTTCCCTTTATTGAATAATACAGCAAAGTATTGGACAAAACACTAGATTCAACCATTTCATAAAGGAAATACTGATTGTATGAAATAACTTCAAATTATAAACATGAATCAGAAACAAAATGTGAGAAACTTTGAACATACCAAAAATTATATAGTAGATTCAAAATACAGAGCTGAAATTAGCAGAATTACAAAACCATATCATATATAAAATATATAATCAAAGTAACTTACCAGGCCAGTGGTTGTCACAGTTTCAGTTGTACAGATGTGTCCAGGGAGAGACACAGGACGTTTATAAGACAGCATCAACAGCTCCGCCTGCCTGAGCTGCAAATCAAAGAGGTTTATAGTAATGTTCACACTGCATTTGGAAGTCTGGAAAGAACAGTATGGGAAACATAACATTGATGAATTATTCTATTACAATAACAGAGTCCAGCCTCAAGGGGTCACAATACTATTTAGTGCAAACCTGTAAAAATTAGACTGATCCAGTGCATCTCTCTAACACTGTGGCGTTAAGCATCTGCCGATATCAAGTAATACAGTGCAGAGATAGAAAATGTATTTATTTCCTTTAAACTAAAATAACAGACGTAAAGCTGATCTAAATGTGTCATGTAGCTATTATCTGTGAAATAACCACAGAGCAATTTTTGTAAAAATAAACACTGAGACTTTCTGAACCAACTATCATCAAAAAATGTATCGGCTAAACCAATATTTGGAAGCTGATATCTAATCAAGCTAATTTTACAGTGTCAGTGCTAATATTTGATACCGGTATTGGATCGGTGCATCCCTAGTAAAAATTAAGAGGTATCTGAGGTAAAAGAAAAATAACTATACAACTTATGGCATACTAAGAGTCAGTTGTGGCAGTAAAGAAAATTTTACTAAATGTAAATCAATAGATTTTGTAACAGATTACAAGGCATTTGATACCCCTTCATGTGTCTTGCAGCTTTAAGAATAGCAAAGAAGCTGCACAGTTTTTGTAAAATTATAATTTATTTGAGTGAATGGTTCAGGCTGCGGGAAGACATATTTCACTTGGCCATGTCTTTCACTTTGAGCTCCTACAATCCTAACAAAGTATGTAACAACTATGGCAGTAACAACTATGGCAGTATGAAGTAAATAAACAACAAAATGTGGAGTGATCATTGAGAAAAGTAGTAGTAACACGGGGCACACACTGCTCGCTATTCATTGCAAAATACAACTATCAAAAAGTGGGAACATATACTAATCTCACTATGCGGCTTTTATGAAATCAGTGAAAACCAAGTGCTTCACATTGTGCATTGTTTTCACTGCCAATGGAACCGTATGAGAAAAATAAACAACAACAAGGATTCACAATCTAAAAACAAAATACATTTAGAAAACAGCAGTGATCAGTAGTAGACAAGGACAACAACATACAGTACCATCAATTCAAGTAACCTTATGCAGTAGTAGTTTATATTAGCTAGGTAACAGCACCATGCTAATAGAAGGGGAAAATAATAAATAAAATGGGGACTATACATTTCTTAAAATATTTTATGATCTATAAATAGAAATTTTAAGTTTTTAAAATGAAAAACAGTGCAAACTACTAAATACTAAATACTCTGGCCACTTACATAGCAAAACCCTTCTTATTGTAAACCAGAAACAAAAAGGCACAAATCTGAAATGAGTGGATGTAAAATAAAAGATTAATTTGTGAAGCTTCACTTATACATAACACACCTGGACATAGTTATCAAATATTTCCCTGCCTCAGTCCTGAAACAGATCAGGGCCTAACAACACAAACTACAAACTCACAGTAACATGGCATCCTTTACAGTAACCGCAATAACAGCTCTGTTCTTATTCAATATTTTCCCTTTCGTCTTTATTTTTTAGATAGCTAATATAGTAACATTGTAATTCAAGTTGATGGTTTAGCTTTGCCCTGGTCTTCCACCTTTTTAATAGCTGCTTGGATCTTGGCTTGGTCACCCAGAAGCTGACGAGGTTTGACTGGCTTCAGGTTTTCATCCAGCTCCAGCAGCACAGGGATTCCAGTTGGTAAAGTAACATTGACAATCTCCTCATCTGATATACCTGTTTGACAAAAACAAAGACATGCTTATTACACACATGCATGATTTTACAATGTGATAAATAAGGACTTCATGAAAGAGGATATCGCAAAAGTTAAGTAAAAAGCAAAAAGCAAAAGTTAAGATAATACTTTTCTGTTTCAGTCATTATTACATTTAATTCAAGTTTTGAATTGAACACAAATGTCCAAATACTATTTATTTATTGCATTTTGTATCTTTTGAATATTGTGCATTACTAAATAATATTGTTATATAACATGAGTATCATATAATATGGACGCTTGCAGTAACACGAGTGTCAGAGTTGACCTTAATAGTATTTTCCACTCAGTGAATGGCCTTTTATGAAGCAGTTTGAGGAAATGAGATTCTGTGTGTGCATTTAATAAATGTGATTGGTCGCAAATAACAAAACAGTTCACTGTACCTTCTAGGTGTTTCAGAAGGGCCCTGCAGCTGTTTCCATGAGCAGATATGAGCACTGTGTGGTCTTTTCTAATTTCTGGAACTATTGTATTGTCCCAGTATGGCAGCAGTCTGTCCAGCACTTCCTTCAGACTCTCAGCTCGGGGTAGATTATTTTTGGCCACATCACAGGTGTTGTACCTGCGATCATTGTAGATTTCATGATAATATGGGTGAGATTCATCAATGGGTGGTGGCGTGATATCGTAACTCCTTCTCCAAAGCTTGACTTTCTCGTCTCCATGTTGCAAAGCCATTTCTGCTCTGTTTAGACCGATCAGGGAACCGTAGTGCCTTTCATTAAGTCTCCATGACTTGACCACCGGGATCCACTCCAAGCCCATCGCCTCCAAAACGAGCCATGCTGTTTGAATGGAGCGACTGAGTATGGACGTGAACACAATGTCAAACTTGTACCCCTGTTCCTTTAACAGTCTGCCACAGTCCTGGGCCTCTGTGACCCCATTCTCACTCAGTTTCTGGTCAACCCAACTGCAGAAGCGGTTCTCTTTGTTCCAGGCGCCTTCTCCATGCCTCAACAAGAAGAGTTTGTACTTGGACATCAGCAGTGCCAATGCAAAAACCTACATGACGAAAAAAACAGAAAAGCATGTATAAAGAAGCAAGAATACACGAATAATACATGGAATAAGCAGTCCGTTAGTTTCTTTAAAATAATCTATACTTTGAGGAGTTGGGGAAAAAAATAGTCAGCACACATTTGTATTGAGAACAACTATTTAAAAGGATACAGATGCTTGCAGGCAGGGTCAGCAAAAGGTTAAAGGTTCTCCCAAATGGCAAGCTATAAACAGCGCTGAAAACCGCTATCATTATGTAACGAAACAGATTTGAAATGTCCAACTAACTACAATTCGTACAAATACTACAGTCTACATATACCAACCCGAATAAAAGTGTAAAAGTCTCTAGTAGAGCCATATACTGTGAGCTAGCTTGAGGGATGGATGGCTATGCTGTTTAATAACCACTAGAGTATCCTAGCTGCTTGCTTATTTCAGTGAATGCTTTTTCAAGAAGATCCCGAGACTAGCAATGTACAGGCACTAATATAATATATAAAAATAAGAGTTCAGTCCTACCTTTATTAGGTTTTTAGGGAAAGAGTAGAGATAAAGCGGGTACAGTCTTGAATATTGTGGCCATGTACAGAGCACAGTGCAGTTCCCGTGGGCGTACATGATTGACACACTCTTCAGCCAATCACAAGTGAGAGTGTAAAAAAGGAGTGAGGTGATTGGATAATATTTCCCCCATATTAAGAGATGTGCTTGTTTATGTCACTGAACAAGAATGGGGCAGAGGGCGTCAACTCGTGTCATTTATTTCGTCTCCTGACAAGAGAAACATTTTGGTTTACTTACCATTATGTATAGAGATAAAGAATAGTTTTATGCTTCTTTATACTGGAGAAAGCTTGCTATCTTCTGATCAACATAATATTTTACATTTAAACCCAAGTCTGATAAGTCAACTAATTGAAAGTGTCTAGAGCTAGGCCATTCATCCAAGAAACAAGGCTGCTATTTTTTCTGTTGCTAAATAATTTGAAATTTCGTTGACAAACTTATCATTAATCTTCTGTTTATTAATTTAAAGCTTGAAACTGTAAACTGTTTTGTTCCTTTTTCTCTTGTCACCTAAAAATGCAAAGAAATGCCATTTTTATCCACAAACCCACTCTGAATTGACAACAAAACAATGCATCATTCACAACAAAAATTGGATTCTACACAGTATTTATATTGAGTTTGGTTTGGATGTGTGTACACAACCAATATATTTTATTAAATCAGAGATGTTTTCTCCACATTCACTGTCCACCATCAAACAGTTTCTTTCTTCCCTCCATACCAGACATGGCATCCACATTTTTACGCCAGTCAGTCACTTCCTCCTTCTGCAGGGGAAAAACAAATACATTGGTATGCAAATAACATTTAAAATCACATTTTCTATTTTTATTTTCATTAATTATTTGGCTTTTCAGAGCATTTGTTTAATGTACCTTCTCATCTTCCTTCTTCACAGTTTTCAGATTGGCTTTGAAGTCCACAGACTCCTTGACCTTTGCCCCCAGCAGTGCTCCGAGCATGGCATCAGCAGAAACTCGCACTCTCTTCAGGTTTGGCCTCTTCATTTTGCCTTTCAATTCATATATCTTCTGAGACAAGTCCTGTACCTGTTCTCCAGGCAAAGCACACATGTAAAATTTTGACTCAAAGTTTTTTTCCCACTTTTTTACACCATCACTTACTTTCTGATCATTTATAGACACTTTGGCGGCTATGTCATATCTCTCCTCATCAGCAACATCAATTTTCTGATGTAGCTCTTTGCAAAGATTCTGTGGATGAAATTGCTTTTTGAAATCTCTGGCATAATTTTTAACAATACATATTACAGAAACAGTATTACAAAAACAATGAATTGGCTGTACTATATCAGCCTACAATTTGTACCTGTAGCTCTTGTAAGGAGAACCCTGAGATTTGCAGTGCTGGGACTCTTTCACTCAAGACTCGCTCCCGCTCATCTTTTTTAATCTGCTTTTCATTTTCCCACATGGTCACAGCTTTTTTCAACATTTTAGTCTGAGCACAAAACATAATAGGTTACTTAGTTAATTTAATTGCAGTCTATACAAATAATGTACAGCCTATTTTAATCTAATACTCAGAAATGTGCATAAAATTATGAACCTTTAAGAAGAGTCTGCGAGATGCAGAAATCTTTGGCTTTGTTTTCTGGACAAAAGATGCAGTACATTGATTTTTGAAGTTTAGCTATGATATTAAATGCTGTAATATAGGGAACTTACCCTGATTCAATGGGTTAAAGTTAAATAGGAAAAAAAAGAGTTTAAGAGTTTACATATTTTATCATAGTAATTTATCTTAATGAGAAAATACTTACATGTCAGACATTGTTTGTTCTTCTTTCTGAATAAAGTCACTTCTTAATGTTTACTAAAATAAAATGCATATAGGTTATACAGAAGTTAAGAACCCAGGACCTCATACTTTTAGCCAGTTTGTACTGTATTGCATTATCCATGTCAGAATAAAGATAAAGAATAACTTTACAATTTTACAAACCTAATTCTAAACCTTGCATACATACAGACTAAGACTTTTATAGGGCCTTACCTTGCACAGTGACCAATATTTTCTGGCTTCTTCCCTGAGCAGAGATGAGTGGACAGAGGTAGATACTGTATATACATTGAGGTCCTGTTTGCTAAAATAGTCTCCAGTCTGTCATCACAATTCCTGTGCCGTGTGTCTCACATCACACAAGTCCAAGGTGTGAATGTTTCTGTGGGATTCTCCATCGTGACAAGTCCCCTTCATCTCTGTAGACACAAAAGGACTGAACTTTTGTCTGGATCAGTGATATAAATAAAACACTGGAAAATGTGTGGTCAGTTCACAAGTTTCACAGTTTTTCTATTATTATATTTTTACTCAGTATTAATACCAAACAAAATTATACTTGTGCAGTCATAAAAGTTTGGAAAATAATATTTTTGCCAAAAATATAGTTTCTGCACAAATAGATACGAATAAGCAAAAACAAATGGGTTTCATTGTTTTATTGTTTTCAGGTTAGCATGGACTCTGATAGAGCCCAATGAAACTTCAAGAATGAAACATCATCATCATCCACGCATTGAGTGAGCACAAATATCTAGTTAAGTACAATGATTTGGTTCCGCTGCATTTTATGTGCTGTACAGTAGTGGAGTACTGGTTATTTCTATGAGAGCCACTAGGTGTCAGTGTTCGTCTACATCACATTGCGCTCTCAGTGAATTCGTGACTGGTACAAAGTGCAAAGTGAGGAAGTAATGGTTCCTTTAATTTATGCATATGAAGCTAGTTTCCTCAGTTGTATCCAAAAAATGTACAAAGGTACAAGTAAAACATTTTTAGAATGGTGATAAATTGATAAATTCGTCTCCAACAGATATGAAGACACGTATATGTGTAGACAGCTAACAAATGTCCAGTTCTGTAGATGAAGAGCGCCTCCTGCTGTACAATGCAATTACTACGGTTTAATGGGCTTCCATAGGTTATTCAAACAGCTTCTTCCTGCCTTCCATACCAGACATGGCCTCCACGTTCTTACGCCAGTCAGTCACCTCTTCTCTCTGAAGGCGCACATCCAAGACATGTTTAATTATGATTGACAATAGCATGCTAATAATGGCTAAAAAAATGTGAGTGTTTTGTAGCTTCCCACCTCGTCCTCTTTCTTTCTTTCCACAGTTTTGAGGTTGACCTTGAAATCAGCCTTCATCTTAGACGGGTCATTGTAGGCCCCCAGCATGTCATCTGCAGTTTTCTTCACCCTCTTTAGATTGGGTCTTTTTATACCCTTTAGCTCAGTCACCCTCTGTGTCAAGGACTGGATCTGATAAGAAAAAAATGTAATTCAATTAAAATCAATCTCTATTTGTTTAGCTGTGACTAATACTTAAGGCTTCTATAGTGTTTGATTTCATAAACATATGCAGTCACCTCACGTGACTCTTCTAAAAATGACAACAGGAAGCAAGCAGACAAAACATGTCACGATGACTACAAACAAACTCTGGTCTGATAGAATAAAATCTAAGTATTTAAAGCATAAAAATTAATTAAAACTAATGTTTTTAATCAAAGGGGCTCAGAGATTGTCCTTAAATGTACATTGTGTTAAGTTTTCTGGAAGGGCTGTCAAAGTCTTTTCTCCATGGAAATGTTAATGGTTTGTTTAGCGTGAATGTTTGTCTGGGTGGGAGACCAAACCAGATCAATTTACATGTCTGATCTGTGTAGAAGAAACCCCGCTCACAGTCAGAATGCCTGTTTTTCTAGATATTTTTGAGCTATAAAAACACCTATAATTTAATAAATGTAAGGTAGAGCTGTTTAATGTCAAACTGTGGCACATACCAGGCAGAGCAAGGACATATCCATATAAACAAGCAGGCCACAGACCCTTCACCAGAAAAGTTACACGGTGCACCTTTAAACTAATTTTCCAATCAGGACTTTCCATAGAAATTACTATTTTAAATAATAGACCGTCTGGAGCTCTAAATGTACAAGAATGTTGTTATTTTTATTTGTGCTTTGACATTACCTCCTTTTCAGCCTTGGACACTTTGACCTCCATGTCATACCGCGCTTCATCTACAACATCAATTTTATGGTGTAGATCTCTACACAGGTCCTGTCACCAGAGCAGTGATAAATATACTGTAGACTTTCTGTGGTCCCAGGTGGATCAGGGCTCCTACCTGCAGTTCTTGGACAGACAGACCTGAAAGCTGCAGTGGAGCCACACTTTCATTCACTGCCTCCTCTATGGCTCTTTTCTGCTCCTCTTTCTCAGCCACCAGCAGTGCCGCAGCCTTCTTCAGCAATCTGGACTGCAAGATACATGAAATTATTTTATAAATATTGGTAGCTGAGATTCTTACTATTAATTAGCATCGCATTCATCCCTCTCTAAATACTTACCTTCAAAAGCAGTCTGCGAGTAGCTGAATACTTCGGCTTTTTCTAAACAAAAAGTATATTTTTTTACTATACAAGCCAATGTACACACTTTTTTCCAAAAATATCAAATTCTTTTTGACATACCGATCTTGAAGAGGTAATCCAAAGAAAATGACAAAAATATTAAAAAGTAATCAGAATTCATTTATTATATGTGATTTTATTTAATCTTTATTATACTCACCTGTCAGCCATGGTAGTTCTTTGGACCTGTGTATAATAGTTAACAGAATGATAAATTAATGAAAAGTGTATTTTGTCTTTTGAAAGCGTTAATACATTTATCCATTAATAGGCCTCTGGAGCACTCGGATGGATTTCAGATTTCAATAGCCCTGCTGATCTGAAGTAATGTTGGCTATTGTTTGTAAAGCCTGACTGGAGCTATATTTGGCTGTGTCCCGACCACTGGTGCCGACTTGTTGATGTCAAGCCAGGTGTACCAACGTTTGTCAGTGACACTATATTCAGACAATACTGTCTGAAAAGTTTTCCAAATGTACAATAGATTAGGTATTTATTTGTTTTATATCTAATTATTAAGTTAAAATTGAGTAGTATCTAGTCTACAGTCTACAGTCACTGACACTTATTTTTAAGCTGCTGTGCAGGTCAAATTATCACAATTGTTTAGATAGCTTTGATAGCTTAGATTTAGGTTACACCACCTTGCTCAGAGATTTAACTTATCATCACAAACCTTGAAATATTATAGCTGTCAATTGGAGAATCTCATTTGAAAATATCCTGACAAATTATTTGAACTCACTGCGCACAGCAACAACATCTGTGAACAATAACTCTTCACTATAACCTTGGGAAGCTTACCTTTTAGAAGAACCAAACCAGCAGTGTCACTAAAAAGTCTTTTCAGTCAAACGTATTTTACTCAAATGTATCTTATGCCTTGTCCAAACTACTCCCTTAAAACACTCAAATCCACCTGTCTGTGGCTACCTCACATTCAATACAACCTTTGCTCAAAGAGACTCACTACGTCAGTCTCCTGTCTGTCAGCTGTCTCTGTGTGTGCTGCTTTTAAAATGGTTAGGGCCAGCCTCATCACCTGTTATCAAAGTTTGTGATTCAGTTATATTTATAGGCCTACTCTGATTCCATTTATTTACATTTACTATAGCGATTAAAATATCCATATACATGTATTGTCACCTGTTCTGCTCATATGTCAACCACATATATACTAGTTCACCACAAATAATTAGAATATCATGAAAAAGTTCAATATTTTTTGTCACTCATTTCAGAAAGTCAGAACTATATATTACTATGTTGTTTATTACTTATGTTGTTTATTTCTTGAATGTTTATGGTTATGGGTTACAGATGACAAGTCTGTGTCTCAGAAAATTAGAATATTGTGAAAAAGAGGAATATTGGGGTGTCACACCTTAATGAACTGAAAACATCTGCAAAGGTTTCCTGAGACTTTAAATGACCGCTCTATCTGGGTCAGAGGGCAATACAATCATGAGGACGGCTGCTGACTTGACAGAAGTCCAGAAGACAGTCACTGACACCGTCCACAAGGAGAAAGCCTCAAAGGTCATTGCTTAAGAAGCTGGTTGTTCACAGAGTGCTGTATCCAAGCATATGGAAGAAAAAAATATGGTAGGAAAAGGTGCACCAGCCAAAGGGGTCACCGTGGTCTTGCTGAACTCAAGAATTTGGGGGAGCTTCATACAGAGTTGACCGAAGCTGGAGTCAGATCATCAAGAGCCACTACGCACAGACAAAGCTTACAGGGGACATGAGACGATGTCAGAATCCTCTTATCTGAGTTGTGGAGGAAAAGAACTGGACTTTGAATCAGTGGTCCAAAGTCCTCTTTTCAGATGAAAGTAAATATCTTTAGGAAATCAAGGTTCCAGAGTCTGGAGGAATAGAATGGAGAGGCACTGAATCCACGTTGCTTGAAGTCCATTGTGAAGTTTCCACAGTCAGTGATGATTTGGGCAGCTATGTCATCTGCTGATGTTGGTTCAATGTGTTTGCTGAACTCCACAGTCAACTGAGACATCTGTTTTAGAGCACTTCATGCTTTCTTTTGCTGACAAGCTTTATGGAGATGCTGATTTCATTTTCCAGCTGCACTTGGCACCTGCCCACACAGTCAAAGGTACCAAAAGATGATTCACTGACCATGGTGTTACTGTGCGTGATTAGCCTGCAAACTCACATGACCTGAACCCCATAGAGAATCTCTGGGAAATTGTCAAGAGGAAGATGAGAGACACCAGAGCCAACAATGCAGATGATCTGAAGGCCTCTATCAAAACAACCTGAGCAATGCCACAGGAGATCGCCTCCATGCCACACTACATTGATGCAGTAATTTAATCCACAGGAAGTCCAACCAAGTAATGAATGCATATAAGTGAACATACTTTTAAGAAGCCTGACACTCATGCTTAAAATATAATTTTCTTTAATTGATCTTTTTATGTAATATTCAGATTTTCAGAGACACAGAATTTTGTTTTTTATTATCTGTAAACCTCAATCATACAAATTCAAGAAATAAACTCTTGAAATATTTCACTCTGTTTGCCAAGAGTCTATATAATATATGCCTCTGACTTTCTGAAATGAGTGACCAAAAATATTGAACTTTTTCATGATATTCTAATTATTTGTGATGAACTAGTATGTCTGACTAATGCCAGTTTTAATGCCAATTTTTCATCGTGTGGCTAGTTTTTTCCAAAAATTTAAAATAGCCTTATTATAAACATATGACATATATTTTTCATCATATTATTACTTTTGTTTCTGTCTTTGGTCTTTGAAGCTTTTTTTATTTTTTTTTATTTCCTCAAGATAAAACTAAAGTGTGACTTGACAGGAAATGTGTTCAGATGTCAACGTCTGATTAAACAGTCAGTATCAAGTAGAAGACAGTTAAAACTTACACGGTTACTTTAGACCCATAAAGTTTGCCATAATGATTCGGGTTTGTTTCCTCTGGTTTTGTTTTACACTTTCTTCTTCTCTCAGGATTTTCAACCAGCGTACTGACTGCACTCAGCCGGTGAGTTGTGAGGGTTATGGGTGTACAATAAAACCAGTGATATTAATGTTGTTTTGTTCCAGGGTCTTGACAATTGCAGAATAGGTAAGTACAGTACAGTCTTACAGATGTGACTATATTTGTATATTTACTGTTTAGAGATTACTGGAATTAAAAGTTAAAAATAGACAAATGGTAAAATATTGTTCCCTAGATTACAACTGAAGGTCTTATATGTTGTTATCCCAATTACCAGATTATTTTTGTTATTACATGGTATTTTCACCAGCAATGTTCAAAATGAAATTCCATAAATGTTGAACCTTATATTGAACCTTTTGAACTTGCTATATTATTACTTTTATTAGCATACAGCAATTACTATCTTATCTAAAATGAATATTTTCTACTTGTTGTACTGTATCATTTCAATCATATTAAAGATGCATTATGAAATGTTTCCAGCTGAGGGTTACATGCTTTTCTCCACTGAGATGTTATGTTTTGTCAGAAATGTTTTGCAGTGAGGCGTTAAACCTTTCTATCATTATGGCGACCAAACCAGTCCTGGTCAGAATGTCTGTTTTTCTAGGTGTTTTTGAGCAATAAATCCACCTGTAATTGAATAAACATAAGGTGGATTTGTTTAAAGTAATATTGTGGAGCATTTGAAGCAATATCAATAACATATCCATAGAAACAAGAAGGTGAGTAAAATGTTACGTAATGCACCTTTAAAATCAACTTTTTATCTAAAGGAGACTGTTCAAAGCCATTGACAGCAGATAAACAGAATGCACCGACTGGGCCAGAGTGGGATATTAAGTCGATGAATTTCTTCCTGGACAAAGACCAGTTTATACCAATTTTAAATGTGTCATGGAGGATAAAACCGTCTGGTACATGACTCTTCTATACATTTTATTATTTCTAATCATTTTAATATGCACTGTGGTATAATAAGACTTTCTCTCCATAGCTGATATATGGGTTCTTAGTGGATCACGAATACATATCCGTGATGAAAGAAGTAATGAGACCATGTGTTTCGAGTATTTGTACAGTTTACCCAAGGCAGTGAATCCAGACTATAACAGAGTAACAGCATTTTTTAAAGCCATATTCATTTTGTTATTTGTGAATGTTTACGGTTTGTAATTTTTTTTCTTTTTTTTTCTCAGTGGACATTTACGTTTGATACTTTGGTGGTGCAGCCTGAGAATACATATGAGGTGTCAGTTTATAACATACCTGAACCCACTGTTGGAAATTATAGACTTGTGAAGAAAATTACCATTCCAGGTAATTTTATATTATATGCACTAAATGCAAATAAGGAACAATTTTACAATTATGACAGTTAAAATTTGTTTTTATCTAGGATGTAATGACAAGATAATAAAACACTCCCAGAGGTGTCGTGAAAATGGTAAACATTTGCATATTGAATAACAGCTAAAAATACAATACATGCTTGTTACATATTATTCATTTTACAGGAAGTCTATGGGAGCCCCGAGTTATGATGAGTACTGATCCACCTTTGGACAAGATTCAAAAACAAATGTTCATTGTGGTTAGTTTTTATACATCTGAGTACTCGGAGAAGTATGATGTGTCTCTACAAAGCCCTGGTGTTTTCTTTTCCTCAGAGACAGTCTCAAAGGTATTGGTCTACCTACAGTAAAGTAACAATAATTGTTTAAACATTGTAACTAAATGTGTTGCCTTACTAGGAAAACCGAACATTGCTCAATGTGACATTTGCTTTGCGTGCACCACTCTGTAAAATTGTGATTAAGGTATGTATTGTATCGATTGTCTTATATAACATATATGGATGCATATTTAAAATGACAATGTTTTTCAATTAAAAGATTCAACCATTTTTCAAACAATGCAACAATAACTGCTCGTCTGCTGAGAAATCTTTTAATTGCTGCGGTAAGTAATAAAACTTTTGCATCAAAATAGGTCAAATGAAGTGGTTATGCTAACATCACTTTTTCTTAGATTATAAACCACGTACAACGATTGTGAAAATGGTTATTGGATGTGTCATCAGTGCTGCTTGTTTGGCTTATTTTCTGTTGAGAACCTGTGATACATGTTTTCATTCAATCAGACAAGGTTACTTCAAAGTAAAGTCAAAATTTTTATATCACTGAGATTTTATTTTAATTTATAATTATTTTTTAGAACCAGAGTACGTGCCACAGTCTGCTGACAACAACCCATGTACCCAAATGGCAAAGCGAAAAAGATTACTGATCATCTACTCCCTGGACCACCCCTTGTACAAAAACATAGTCCTGAAGCTTTGTAGTTTTCTTATGGCTAAATGTGGCACTGAGGTAGTACTGGACATGTTGGACTCCACTAGACTTGGCATGGTTGGGGGCCTGCAGTGGCTTCAGTGGCATAAACAGCAAATAGAAAAATCCTCAGATAAGATCCTAATTCTTTGCTCAAGAGGTGTACAAGCAAAATGGAGCGCTATGTGCACTGGTAAACAGGTCCATCTAAGAGAGGATGTTCACTCAACTGTTGGAGATATGCTTATCCCTGCTTTTTGCCTTATGGTGCCTGAATTTGTCAAATCTCCATCATTTGAGAAATACATTGTGGCTTACTTTGATAGTGTATCCACAGAAGATGATGTACCATCTCCATTTAACATGACAGTCCGGTACAAACTGATGAAACAGTTTGAAGAGTTGTTTTTTAGGATTCTAGGTAGTGAAAAACACGAGATGGGACGAGTGAATAGGATAGAGGGGCTGTCAGAGGTTGACTATCACCTTTGTCCTACTGGGGGAGCTCTACGAAAAGCCATAGAGGATTTCCAAGCATACCAAATGGAGCATCCACACTGGTTTGAAGAAGAGTTGATTGAAAATGCAGAGATGGACATTGACAGTGATCTTGGCTCTGTATGTCAAAATAAGGCAAGACAAATTGTGAATGATTTAACATCAGAAGCGCCAACAATTCTTATAAGTGAACAGCGAGAGCATCTTAGTTTAAAGATGTGATTTAGACCTGTGAGATTTTTGTTTATATTTTCCTGCTCTTTGGTATAAGCACTATTTTGCTGGTTTTCTTTTGGTGATTCTTGATAATTGTTCAATTTAAATATTAATTAGCTTCTTATTAAATATTAATTTGACTTTTGTAGTATTTTGCCTTCTTTTAGTTTGTCAATGCTGTTTTTGCAATGCTTTTAGTGATGTCTGAAGCTACACATTTTTGAGGCAGCACCACATCTGGGCTTGATGTTTCATGGCTGTGTAAACATTCTGTGGGTCAAAGTTCAACTTTCTGGGCAAAGTTTTAGCATTTCTGTGTTTGTGGGGAAGGTAAGCACATCTACCTTTTTCAGAGTCATTTAGCTTCTGTGTTTTTAGATATGTATGCTTGTATTAGATATATGTTTATGTATATAGATTATGTTTCTGTGCTCTTGAGCAACACTGCAGTTTGAGGATCTGAATAGGCCAATGGGAGGAACATGTACAATCTGGCCCAGAGCTGAGGAATTTCATTGTTAGTTTCAGAGAGTGGCCTCAAGAGAGTGTGGGGGAATGCATCTGTAGGCTTACTGTTTGAATTTAACCAAATAGCATATTGATTTTTATTTCATATTATTATTATCATTATTATTATTATTATTTCACTATACGCAGAATAGGAATTACAGTAACAAATCATGACCTATATTTTTGAGCAGTTGGCTTAATGGCGTAATGTTCCTTTTATAATAGTTATAAAATTGATTTATATTATTTGTTGTTATAAACATGATTTTAATGAATATTGTCTATTATATTTTCTTGGGGGACCTATAGAGCTTTGTGTGTGTAGTTGTTCTCAATTTCAAATAGTCAAAAGATAACTGATTAACAGATAAGGAACAGCTAACATAATTCCAGTCTTGTGCTTATGTGTGAGGATGGTCACGAGAGTCTGCATCCCAATCCTGAGAAGAGGGGTTTCAACTTATCCCAGCAGGCTTTGGAAACATGGTAAAACCTGATCTTGTGATTCATGGTGTGCTGAGATTATTCAGCTATACTATATAAACATTCCTTACTTTTTAGACAGTATCTTCCAAGTTCATCCGTCTGTGTCACAGGCATTAGCAGGAAACAGACCAGTGGTGGCACTGGAGAGCACAATTATAACCCATGGCATGCCCTATCCTCACAACCTGAGGTAAACAAACATATATTTTTTGGAATATGTTTAAAAATACAATGTCTAACTTTCTGGAGGTGGTCTATCACCTGCATGATTCTATGGAAATAGATATAGATGCATACATAGATAAGTTTTAAACCATACTAAGAAAGATTATAGTCAAAGGACCAACATTTCCATGGAAACAACAGGAAGCCCTTCTCCAGGCCAACTATGGGCCAGGTCTGTATAGATGCAAGCCCATTCAGAGTAAGGATTCAGCCAAAATGAAAAAAACAAGCTTTTATTTTATTTTTGTCTTACATACTCTGTCTTTAAATAAACAAAGTGTTTTGTGCAGCACAACCAAAGAAGTTGAGGCCATTATACGAGCTGAAGGAGCGACCCCTGCCACTGTTGGGGTCATAGAGGGTAAAATTCACGTTGGTCTATCTTCAGAGGAGCTAGACTTTCTATCACAGTGCAAGATGTCTCTGAAAGTGTCACGAAGAGATCTGTCTTATGTCATCAGCCAAGTGAGAATCAGTGCACAAGTCACATTCATTTTAACATGGATTAATATTAATGTTTTTCTTGTGTTTTAGGGGTTATCTGGAGGGACAACCGTGTCTGCCACAATGATAGCAGCGCATCGAGCTGGCATCCCAGTCTTTGTGACTGGGGGCATAGGAGGAGTCCACAGAGATGGAGAAAACAGTGAGTCAATTTGTCACTCACAAGAGTGTAGAAGTGCACTGCTGATAGACTGTAAATTGTATTAAGTCTGTTTTTATTAAATATGACTTTCCTTTAGGTCTAGACATTAGTGCAGATTTGACAGAATTGGGCAGGACCCCCATTGCTGTGGTCTCTGCTGGTGTCAAGTCCATCTTGGACATTGGCCGAACCCTTGAATTTCTTGTAAGTAATATGTTTCAAATTCTGAACTCACATGGTTTGTACTTTACTTTATACTGTTTATTTCTCATATTTACTGTATTGAGTAGGAGACTCAAGGAGTCTGTGTTGCCACTTATGGATCATCAAAAGGTTTTCCAGCTTTCTTTTCTCCCCAAAGTGGTTTTGAGTCTCCACACCAAGTCTCAAATCCAGAGGAGGCTGCAGAGCTTATAGGTACACCAAGTTTTTATAGCATCAAGGTGTTGCAGAAATATATGTAACAGGCATGTTGCATTAGCCAGTACCCTGTTTCTGGGTCTTCAAAGTGGGGTCCTATTTGCTGTGCCCATCCCGGCAGAGCAGGCAGCAGCAGGACAAGAGATAGAAGAAGCAATACAAGCAGCTGTGAAGGAGGCAAGGTAGGCAAATGAGTGTAAATTTGCTGATGACTGTTACAAGAGAAACATGGCCAACTCTAGCAAATGTTATCTGTTTGATTTGATCAGTGATAAATGCATCACAGGAAGAGACGTGACGCCATTTATTCTACAGAAAGTCAATGAACTAACAAAAGGAAAGTCCCTTCAGGCCAGTATCCTACACAGTGTTGGTATTTAAAATAATAATAACTTACTGAATAAATGTATAGCTTTATTTCACCATCCTTAACCTGCCATGTTATTAGACATTGCTCTTATTCATAACAATGCTAAAGTTGGCAGTCAGATAGCATGTGCACTGTCAAAAATACAAAATCAAAAGACAAGAAACACAACTAGGCAAGATGGAAGCTTGAACAACAGATCAGATATTGTAAGTAGTTTCTCAATAAATAACTTAAAAATAAATATTTGCAACAAAAAAGTATTTGTCATTTTACAGGTTGTAATCGGGGGAATAAATGTAGATTTTATTGCTAAAGGAAAAACAAACACATTGCTTGTAAGTACACAAGGAAACTACAAAATGGTATATGATGCTTTGACACAACCATAAATTGTGTCTCCCACAGTCTGGACAAACTAACCCAGGAAGTGTCTGCCAGTCATTTGGTGGTGTTGGGCGAAACATTGCTGGTGTGTATCTGTTTTCCTAAACCTATAGTGTACATAACATACTTTTTTTTTTTTTTTTTTTTTAAGATGCATTAAGTCGGTTAGGCCACAATCCCCTCTTCATCTCAGCTACTGGAACTGATTTCCACAGTGAAGCTGTTTTCAATTACTGCAAACATATGGTAAATGGTATTTAATTGATCCTAATATTATTAGAAGTATAAAAATATATATTTGCTGTCTTTTTGCCAGGACACCAGTGGTGTGGCACAGCTAAAGGAGAGGAGCACAGCCACATACTGTGCTGTAATCACAGCAAGTGGTGAGCTGAGTCTTGGACTGGGCGACATGGACATTCACCAACAAATCACTGAACAATATGTATGCACCGTTTCACTTTTACACAAACATTATATTTATGGATTAGCACATTTCATGATATTTTTTATATTTTAGGTATCACGGTTTGAAGATCAGCTCTCTTGTTCCACTCTTGTGTGTCTTGATGGAAACCTGCCAGTCACTACTATAAACTATGTTTGTTCTTTAGCTGAAAAACATAATATTAAGGGTAAGTGCAATGAAAATTATTCTACTTATTCTATTTTTCTATTTAAACTATTTTTACTGTAATTGTGTTTCAGTGTGGTATGAGCCAACAGACTCAGATAAGGCAAACAAACCCTTTCTCTCTGAGGCTTGGAAATCACTGTCCTACACCTCTCCAAATTTGTCAGAGCTGTACACCATGAATAAAACATTGGGCTTCCCAGTACCTCAAGGTAAAAACTTGTTATAGTGTGCCCTGTTTTTATATTTGCATTTCATGCTTCTAAATGTTTTGTCTTACCCTAACTGCACTAAAACTGAGAATGTGTTTTTGTCATGTGTTTTGTGACATAACAGCACTGCCAGACACACTTGATGAAGTGTTGGATGTTGCAATGGCTCTCTCACGCCCCCTTCTGGAGCATCTTTACTGTCTGGTAGTGACCCTGGGAGCTTATGGGGTTATAGTTTGTGGTGAATATGATGCTGGGTCAATTCATCTACAGCCAAGAAAATTGAAAACTGTATGTTTATTTTATATGTGTAAACAACAGTTGTTGTTTTTGCATTGTAAAATTGTCCTTGTCTTCACAGAAAAGACATCTAGGTGCACTGTTCTATCCTGCTCTCAAAGTGACAGCTGAAGAGACTGTGAATGTCTCAGGAGCAGGAGATAGGTATAAATTGATTTTTCTTTTTTTTTTTTTTTTCAACATAATTTAATAAAATCACAATTTGAACATTCACTCTTGTCACTCAAACTCTAAACTTCTTGTACAGCCTTGCAGGAGCACTGATTGCAGGGATGCTTCAAGGCAGAGATACAGACAGTTGTGTCCGAATGGGACTTTTGGCTGCACGACTGTCACTGGTATCAGCACACCCAATTTGCCCTTCGTTGACCATAGATGCTATAGATCCCAATAAACACCTGAACTGGACCAGGCCAACTTTTAAAAAAATGAACTAATATGTTTTTATCGTACAGTCTTTATACTGTATGTTGCTTATTTTATAACAGTAACCAATAACATATTCATGTGCAGTGCAAAACAGTGTTTACTTCTCAATAAAATGTTTGAATTATAATTATTAATTATATTATTACAATGTAGTCTGACAATCAATGGGTGTTATCTAAAATAAAAAGGCTATCCATGGGTTTCAGAATAATGAAAGATTATGACTGTTGTCATAACAATTAACTTTTTTTTTTTTTTTTTTATGTTGAAAAGTCCTAAAAAGGTTCAAAATAACAGGAAGTCTCTGGCTGAAACTCATGGACTTCACTACCCACAATACATCTGCTCGGGCGCGCAGACTCAGTGGAAGTGAATACTTGCCCAACTCCCTCCTCCCTATTTTAATGCTAGCTAAGATGGTGGTTTGAGCGTAAATTGTCTCTACAATACCAAGACAAGAAAGGGGCAAAACACCTTTATAGCCTTTGAACTGAAACAGAACAACACATCTGCGGTTATCTTAAGTGACCGTTTACACAGAATTTCACATTTTAGACACATTGGCTTACAGTCCCCGCCCAATTTGGTGTGACTCCCTTGAAGTGGAATCTAAGCTAAATACGGACAGGGTAAGTAACACTAATGTTAGCCAAGTAGCTAACAGGGCTAGCTCTATTCAAGCCTTACTCAATAAACAAACTGTAGATGTGTCAATTGTGGCTTTATGCCTCACACCTAAAATATTTTATAGATATTTAAATCGGTGCCTGTTGAATTGCCGTGTGGTTAGGACATTGTCGGTAACTTAGTGAAGGTTCGGTGTTAGCCTGTGTAGGCCGCGTCAAAAGCTTGGCTCCAAAAGCCTCGTACGATGTGATGAAAATGTAGCATGTTAGCCTCGACATATGCTAACCTTTAGCACAAAGCAAGCTGTCAGATATTAGACAGACGAAAGTACCATTGTGTGACATCTTGTTAATAATGTCAAATATGGACTAGGAAGTATTGTTGTGTTGGCTTTATTGGGTTTTTATTAGCTGAGTTGCTTCTGCATTTGAATACGCCGCAGACCGGCTTTCTGTCACCAACCCTTTGCTACTGATGGCTAACCCAGCGTTGGTCAAATAACATCTGTCATATTGTACAATCCGATGACGGCGACTGAAGTTACTGGCTAGTGGCTACTAACTAGACATCACGACTTCTAAATCTGCTGACTTGTGTGCCTAAACATTAACACGTTTGTGAACAAATGTGATGCCTTTTACGTCTTACTTGTATCTAGTATTTATACTGTCGGCATTTCCCTTTTAGTGTTTATTGTTGGCTTTCATTATCGGCCTTTATCAATCTGGGCTTGTCTCTGAATTCCCCCTTGTGAAATGGTGTTGTCAACGTTAAACCTCTTTCCTTTATTTTTCAAAATAGCCGCACCAGACAAGAAATGCAAGTGCAGTGTTTTAATAAAGTTTAACTGATTTATTTGACGTAATAAGACAATACGCTATTCATGATTGCTTGTGTTATGACTGGGCTGTTTGCTTTAGAGTCGTCCATTCTTTCTATTTATTTTTTCTAATATGATAAATGTCTTCTTAGCATATGGTTTAATCTCCACTATGATTTTAACTACATCATCATTGTACGGCACTTGCTTAATTCTGTCTATTGTTATGTGCTATGTACAATTTTTTAAATATATATGAATTAGAATGTGTATTTGTTATTTAAAGGATTTAGTAATTAGCAAACCTCCCATTTTTAGCCTCGTGTTCTGTGACCATCTTCACCACTCACCTGCGGCGCCATAGGATGTCCCACAGCCCTGAAATGAAGGACGACCCCATGGAGTGCCCACTGTGCATGGAGCCACTGGAGATAGATGACGTCAACTTCTTCCCCTGCACTTGCGGCTACCAGATCTGCCGCTTTTGTTGGCACCGCATCCGCACAGATGAGAATGGCCTTTGTCCTGCCTGCAGAAAGGTCAGAAACATGTGAAGTTACTCAACTTCAAATCAAGTGATGTCTTATGCTGTTTTGTGCCGATCCTTTTGATAATTCTTTGAGGACTTATATGGTTCTAAGTTTTAAAAAATGTTTTAAAATGCGCTTGTTACGTAAATTATTTATGTAAAATATTTGGCTTTCTTTGCTTGTGCTGCAGCCGTACCCTGAGGACCCCGCTGTCTACAAGCCCCTGTCACAGGAGGAGATTCAGAGGATAAAGAATGAAAAGAAGCAAAAACAGAACGAAAAGAAACAGAAGGTGACAGAGAACCGCAAGCATCTGGCCAGTGTCCGTGTGGTGCAAAGAAACCTGGTGTTTGTGGTTGGTCTTTCACAGCGACTCGCCGACCCAGAGGTGAGTACAGCGTTCGCACTAACAAGCTCACTGGTTTATGCTGTTGCTGACACTGTAGTGTTAAAACTGTTGGTATTTTGTTTTGCCATAAAGTACTTGTAGTTTTAAGAGTGTTATGTGTGTTTCTCCACAGGTTCTAAAAAGACCTGAATATTTTGGCAAATTTGGCAAAATTCACAAAGTGGTCATCAACAACAGCACATCGTATGCAGGTTCACAGGTGAGGCACAATAGTTTATATACGTACATATATGCTTTTACAATACCAACAAAGCACTGTCAATGTTTATCCATGTTTCTTATTAAATAGGGGCCCAGTGCAAGCGCTTATGTCACCTACATCCGCCCGGAGGATGCTCTGAGAGCAATACAGTGTGTAAACAATGTAGTGGTTGATGGCAGAACACTCAAGGTGAGACAATAAAATGTGTATGTTTTAAGAACACAGAAAAACTATTATATTTGTACTTCATTATTATCTTTTTAAGCATTTTTACTATTTTGTTGTAGTAACTTTATTATTTCTCTGCTTTTTAACCAGGCTTCCTTGGGGACAACAAAATACTGCAGTTACTTTCTCAAAAGTATGCAGTGTCCCAAACCTGATTGTATGTATCTACATGAGCTGGGGGATGAAGCAGCTAGTTTTACAAAAGAAGAAATGCAGGTACAAATCTAAAAAAAGGAAATGACCAAAAAATAAATTAATAAAACAAACACACCTTTTTAATAGTTTAGTCAATTAATAACTTACAACATGCTTTTCTTAGGCTGGAAAACATCAAGAATATGAGCAGAAACTTCTAGACCTTTGTAAAATTAATCCTAGTTTTCAACAACCCCCAACATGTGCAACAGAGAAGTCAAAGAGTAAAACCAACTCCACACAAAGGTTTGTTTTCATATTCTTTTCAGTTATTCTTATCCATGTGACCCCAAGAAACTCAATTGAACCTTCTATACTCACCAGAACCAATAATAGCAATGGGAAAGATGGGTGGCCAACACTGTCGTCGGGGCATAATAAACTGGTTAATGGACTTTCAGAAGATCGCAAGTCCCCTCCACTTCTAGACTATCTAGACCAAGAAGGTCTCACTTCAGATGGGTTAGACTCAGAACTCGCTTCAGTCCAACGAACCGCTTTGTCCCCCTTTTCTTCAAACTGTGACAGTAACAGGTAATTGTTGTTATGAACAGTTTGTACATAAAACATAATATAAATAAAACTGATGTTTGAGCAAGAGACAGTGGCATGAAAAGTTAGTTTAACTTCTGCTTCTAATTATATTTTTATTGCTTAGCCCCAGTGACAAACCTCCGGAGTCCATCAGTTTGGTTAATGGAGAGACTTTACCACAGGTAATATAATATTATAATAGTTTTCTTTTAAAAAAAAAAAAAAAAAGAACCAGGAATAACAATATTCTTGTCTTTCTAGATGCCCACCAGTGACTCCCCCTCCCCTCCTCCTGGTTTAACAAAGCCCAGTTTGGTGGTGCCCATCAGTGTCTCAGACCTCACAGCCCGCTCTCCCTTTGAGGGGGCAGCTGCTGAGTCCCAATCCCTGTTTTCAGACAACAGCAACTTCAGACATCCAAACCCTCTCCCTGCTGGCCTTGCTCCATTCCCCAGCTCCCCCCGTGGCAACTCAGACTGGCCCATGACCCCTGAACCACAAAGCCTCTTCACCTCAGGTACCTGCCACTGAAAAGTGTCTCTTACTGCTTTAATTCCTTCTGAAAGAACGTCTTAACTGCAGAAATTAAACTAAACCAACACTTGCATTCTTTATTAATTTCTGTAGAGTATGCTGAGAAAAAGAATCAATAAAATCAAAATTGGGGAGATCAGTTTGTGAAGTTTGTATGATAATGATAAAAAAACATTTTTAATTGTTTTGTTTGTTTGTTTGTTTTAGACACAATACCAGTGTCTTCCTCCACAGACTGGCAGGCAGCCTTCGGCTTTGGCTCGTCCAGTAAACAACAGGACGATGACCTAGGCTTCGATCCTTTTGACGTCACCCGTAAGGCCTTGGCAGATCTGATTGAGAAGGAGCTGTCTGTTCAGGATCAGAGCCCTTCGTCCCCAGGACCCCTTTCTCAGGGGACTAACCACAGCCCAGGTCTGCTCCCTCTAAACCCTAACAGCTCCCACCATTTCCCCAGCGGCCTTCCACGCCACCCCCAACTCCACCACAGAGCCATATACAACTCTTTCAGTTTTCCCGGAAGTCAGCCAAACCAAGCCAGTCAACAGCAGCCCTCCCCCAGACACCCGTGGATGAGCGTCCCCACACGGAATAACCTCACACACTTGAACCACTCAGCCAGCGCTGCCTCACACAGTCATTTCCTGGACCTGAATCTGCCCCCTCAGCACAACACAGGCCTGGGAGGGATCCCCATTTCAGGTACAAACACCTGGGTCACTGAGGCCCTTTAGGCCCTGTGTAAACTGTACACTCTTTGTATGCTCTGTGTATTAATAGTTTTATGTCATGTAACAGATTGCTGACTGAACAGTGTTTTGCCTCCCACAGAAAACAGTGGCTCTATAGACGGCTTAAATGTGAAAGAATGGCAGGATGGTCTGAGAGCGCTTTTACCAAACATCAATATCAACTTCGGTGGTCTCCCAAACTCATCGTCCTCTTCATCGTCCTCCTCCTCCAATAGTGTTAATCACGTTGGCGGGCCGACAGGGCCGGCAGGTATCTCCCACAGCCTCAGCTGGGACGGTACAGCCAGCTGGATGGATCCTGCAATCATCACAGGTAGAATCCCACTTCACACCTCTTGCATTACTCTTTAGTTTTTACATGATTTGGTTAAAATGGTTGTGGTTGCATCACTTTGTATTGATTTATTTCTTGTTGTCCTTTTAAGAATAATTTTAGTTGCCTCTATTAAGCTGTAGCTAGTGTCGTTCTCATTGTATCTCCCCTTCTCTTCAAAGGTATCCCGGCCTCAGGCAGCAGTTTAGACTGTCTTCAGGACGATAACCCTCCTCACTGGCTCAAGTCACTGCAGGCTCTCACAGAAATGGACGGCCCAGCCAGCTCAGCAGTGCCCACTCCCGCGCCCCTTCACAGTGGCCTCCTTGACGCTCATCTTCCCATCCCGCACAGAGCCGCCGGCGGCTGGGCTCCCTACCTGCCCCCTCCCACAGCCAACCCCAGCCAATTCCACTCCCCACCCCCAGGCTTCCAGACGGCTTTCAGACCCCCGGGACAGCCTGCCACAGAGCTGCTACAGAGTGCCGCTGTGGACCGCCACTGAACAGACTTCAGCAGACACCCATTTGTTCCCCACTACCACTTTATACCCACTCATCCTGTACCTCTTCCCTGTCCCAACGCAATACACACCAATCTGCAGAGTATAAAATTATTAACAAAGTAACAGACATGCTTTCTTCTTTTTCTCCTTCCTTTTTGTCAACTCCAAAGGCCTGTATGTTTTTGTTTGTGGCACAAAGTTCCCTTTGTCTTCTACCATCACCACTCCTTAGACCTAGTTCTGGGCAATATGTTTGGGATCCATTGTGTAGCTTACAGTTAATGGAGAGCACAAGAGTACGTCCAGAATGTGCAGGTAACACAAGTCTAACTCCACAAATAGCAGTGAAACAAATTAGCTTAAGAGAGGTCTGTTTTAAAAGTTACTAATGCTAAAGCATGAGCAACATTTGTGTTTGAAAGTTGAAATTGTCATGATTAGTTTGTAAGGAATGATGCAAGCTGTGAATCTGCTCTAGAAGCTTTGCCCCAAAGTCCCTCACCCTCCCTGGTCTCACGGGGGACTGTGAAACGGTTAGCCCTTATAGCAAATCCATTCAAACAGACAATAGGGGAGGTCAGCATTGGCTTTTTAAGAATAGTTTTCAAAGAAGTGTAAAAAGAACAGAGTTGGTTAGTGAATGCATATGTCACAGGGTAGTGGTGGGTGCAGGCTGTGCATGGGCTCCCTGTAGGGTAGGGCCGACACTTGGCCCATATTCCCTTCTGTAGAAGGCCCCGTGGCCCCTTCTCGCTGAAAGGGAGAATTTGCTGAACCTCTGTATCAGAGGATAGAGCACTGCCTACAGCAGGGAGCCAGGGCTTTGGGAGATGGTGGCGCAACCTGAGCACTAGGGTTAGACTCGTACTCACAGTGCCACTGTGTGGTAGCTGCAGTAGTTAGCCCTGTCACAGACAGCCACCCAACAAACAGAACCATGATGAGAGCTTATTGCATGTCTAATACTGAGGGTAGCGCAGGCTTAACGGGTCCCTGTGTTCCACCAGGAGGGTCAAATGAGGCCTTAACTTGGACAGATGAGAGAGGAGCTTGAGTGATTGGAGGTGGGAGTCTAGTGTCAGTGACTGCTGAAAAATATGCAAACCTGTATGTGACTTCAGCAGCTGTATGTGAGTGTCTACACAGGATGGTGCTAAACAAGATATCAAGCACCGCAGCAGTGATCCATGGACCTCTCAGCCTTTAGAATTTAAGATTGAACTTCACAACCACCGCCTTTTTTTTTTTTTTTTTTTTTTGAAGTCTTAAATTCAAATCTGTGTTTGCTCTGTCCCTCTCGCTCTCCCCTGCCCCCCCTTTGCTGTTCCCTGTTTAACAGTATTCACATAAATGAACAAATTCATCCAGGAGAAATCAACACAGAGTCATACTGTGGGTTTTAACAATGATGTGACGAGAAAAAAATACATTGAGGCGCTTAAAGGAAGTGAACTGTCCTCTGCAGGTCTGGAAAAATGAACCTTAAATAAAACTGAAAACTCTGACGTAATATTTAGTCTATTGTGTTTTTTCTACACATGACAGTTGAACCATTTTCACCATACTCTATTTTTTTTTTTTATCTTTTTGATCACATAATTTACTAATTTAGTACTAATCATGCACTTAAGATATTTCTCCCCGAAAGCACTGTTGTAGTTCTTGTGGACTTCACTAGGGGGCAGATAACTTTACAGTCACTGACAAAGCTCTGCAGTCAAACTTCACTTAAACACAAGGTTATTTATAAATCTACCATACTGCACTATATATATATATTCAACTGACTCATGTTCCCGTTTTTTACCATATTGACAGGACCTGTGTTCATGATGTACAGTAATTGCTTTATCATTTTTCTTGAGCTTGCAGTTGTGCAGCTGGGACATAGTGTTCAGCTCTGCATTCCCCACTCATTGCAGCAGCAGCAGACGCTTGCACCAAGTTTTTTTCTGTCCTGATGAAGACTTGTTTGGACAGCAGCGACAAATCAATGTTCTTCACTTGTGCACATCTCTTCAGAGGGATACTAACCAAATGAAGAGATGGTGTAGAGATAGTTTAGTTCAGTAAATGAAAGGCTTTGAGGGTGCATAAGCAGCAGGTGAGTGTACAGATGATGCAGAAATCACCAGAATGTGGGACTCTGGCAATGAGTCAGCAACAGCTAATACAGGAGAAATCTGATCAAGGTTCATCAGTCAACTCAGACAATATATATGACACTAGTATATGTCATACATCAGTACTATATTTCTATGTACTGTACAGTATTGTAAAGGTCATTTGAAATGTGCTTACGCTGTGAGAGTGTTGTGTTATTGTCTACCATAGATTCAACTTTTGTTTCAAAGTTAAGTTCAATGTGAATCATGACCAAAGAAATGCAAATGTTTGTGATTCCGGCTGTTAATATGTCGAGCACCCTTTGACACAGCGGAAGAGTAAAGACAATTTGTCTCCATTGCTGAACCTGCATGCTGGCTTAAAGTACACTCCAAATCATTATTGTATGCTGTGTCACAATGTTCCCATAAGTAAATGACAGTGTATTGATTTGTTGAAACTGTATAGGCTAATTTTAATCAGACAACCAACTGAGCAGACACTCTACTGATGAAGCAAATTGAGTTTTTTTCTGCTTTCCTGTGCATATACTGTGGATGAAAATTGCTAACACAACAGAAAGCTCCTATGAGTGGCCAGCTACAATATTTACAGATATCTGTTTCAGACTCCAGATAGAAAAACTAAAGAGTTGACATGACTCAGGTTTATTTTTTAAGAAGCTGGTGAGCCTTACCCATATGCAAACCAGTGACTTGATCACCATGCAAACGAGCATTTATGCATTGTAGTTGTGTCATAATGTGAACAGAGCTGTCCACTGCAGGGGTTCATTGTTGTAAACTGCTGAAATGTTGCTTTCCTTCACAGACTGCAGCTCTGAGGGCTTCTGGAGAGGGCACAGCCGCTGCAGTGCTGCTGTTGCTGCTGAGAGCTGCACACTGCACAAAGAGGTGCTTCATCAAATATGACAATATTTATCTATTAAGTCAATGTGAATTACTCTTTCTGGGACTGTGATCCAGATGTATGCCAGTTAAACGTCCCATTATACATAATGTGTTATAGATCCTTGTGTGTCTTATTATGATAATATGATAATATGTCATTATTTCAGAAGCTTTTTGATGCCTGCTGCTTGCATACATGGGAAACCTGTGGGGACTGCTCTCAGCAGAAAGCACTATCTCCATTTGTCAGCCTCTGACACTCTTACACCAGTGGAGACTCCAGTCCTCCTTATAACACTGCAGCACTGTAAAAACAAAAACAACAACAACAACAAAAAAACATTCACTTGACTTATAGTACTTAACTTTAAAGTCTAGATCAGACATTTGGTAAATCAGATATAATTCAGGTTGTCTGATCACTGGTATAGGACACACTGTTCTCATTTGGAAAAAACAATGGATGGATTTACAGTACAACTGGTATTTTTGCAGTGTATACAATTCTATCTACAGAAGCTTTTACAGTACATTTCACCAAGAAGCAGTCAATGTGTCCTATAGACAGGCCCAGAAAAATGACATGAATTAACATAATTCAGAATATGATATATGGATAACATAACACTGAATGTTTGCTATTTACAGCAACTCTTTGATGCCAATATAGTGCATTATTTTCTCATTATCTTTCAGTATTTCTCTTTATGGATTACCAAAGCAAATTTCCATCTCCATAAGATAACGCTAAATTTGAATAGGCTGAGGTTTTTCTTCAGATGATCTTTATGCTATCCAGGCTGGTAATAGACCCAAATTCCTGACTCAGATGTATTTTTTTTATGTTTTCTCATGAACCCTGGCTCACCCTGAAGCTACCAGCTGTAATGACCTTGGTGGAAACATGCAGTCTGGACAATGTTGCTGAGTTGGTGAGTACCTCTGCGCATGACGTGAAGATTATATCCGTTTTGTGGTTTTGTATTTGCCAGGCCCCTTCAGTCATGATGTAACTGAAGCGGGAAGGTCACCGCGATGCTTTTGTTGATGTTAAGTTTGGACCTTCTCCTCGGACAAGGCCGCTGACGCTGCACACTGCACTGAAGCATGTAAAATGAGACCAATTCACAAGGGCAGACACACCAGAAAGACTGAAATAATATGTTTATTGAATCACAAATGAACTATAGCATTATTTGAATAGTAAATACTATTTGAGCCAACTACAATAATCTCAGTGGTTAAATTAATTGCATAAGATTACTTGCTCAGTTTTATTTAAAGTACAAGACCAGAAACCAGCTTCTCCAAAAAACAAAAACAAAACAAAAAAAAATAATTCACCTATATATATATTTATAATTATAATAATTTATAGTTTTTACAATGCGTTTATATCACACCTTCCCAAAGCACACACAGAAAAGCTGAGAGATAACATGATTTGTTCACTATTCACTCTTATACGTTAACTATAAACCTCAAGAACTGACCTTTTAAACATGGCGTTTTTGATACATTTATTCCACTGAAAACATAGTAATATATACAATACAATATGTTACTTTATTTATTAATGATAACGACCCATAGTAATATACAAACATATTGTGTATCTTGTCAGCATAACCAAAAACATTAGAAAAATATTTATTTTAAAAAAATTTAATGTTATCATGTTAATGTAAGTAATAAGTAATAAAGTAATCTTCTGTTGTTAGATCATTATTCCTGGTGTTGGACTGTTTCGAGGACAGCCTCTATTGTACTGTATTTTCTTGGCTTTGAAGAGAGCTGTCAGCAGCTAAAGCAGAAGTACATTTATTTGGCCTGAGTTTCACAGAGACCATTTGTGGACTTCCACAAGGACGAGGAAATTATGGACATGTCCTTAATTATTAAACAAGTGTGTCAGCAGCTGGCCTGATGGAGGTAATGCAGAGGAAGTGGGCCAGAGAAGGCCGTGGGGGTGGGTTTGGACCTGGGGGTGGGGTGTTGTGAGGCCCCAGGGCTTTGGCTCCAGAATGAGGATCCAATACTGCTGGCAAAGCTATTTTTCCTATTGTGTGGAGCCGATATGAGGTCTTTCACAGGTACACCTTGGATCAACCAGCTGCAGCGGGACACTTGTGATTTGATCTGAGGCTCCACCTGATACTGTGCAGGGCCAGCTGATCGGCCCTGAGCTGTGGAGAGGTTTTCGATGAGGTTGACAGGAACAGTATTTTCAGAGGATATAGAATAAGTCCGTCCTCGTGTCATTGATCATGGAATATCAAGTGAACAGAGTCTGACTCAGGAGAATCAGCTGTTGTTTGTGTGCGATATATGCAGGCCAATACATATTTAAATACAAGTATGACTGCAGTCAGTCACACCTCGAACAGGGCACAATGACTCTACAACAGCTGTGGAAACACCATTAATCATGGGACATGTTCAGATGGCAGCTACAGCCAACACCAAGGCGTTCAGTTCGATAAAGGACCAATGCATCACTGACCGACAGCACTTCAGCTAGTCCAACATGCTGATCTGGGATTACCACGACAGAAGCCTAAACCACACTCTCAGTTACACCTGTCTTGGTGACAGTAGACTGACACCTGTCACCGGCATAAAGTCAAATGGAACACAGAAGAGTCTCACCCACAAGTAGATGTGGATCATCTCACTTTAGTGATAAGTTTGAAAGGTAACTGGGACTCAGAAGACAATCAGCAGGTTGTGATCAATTTTAAACAGAGTCAATTTAAAATCAGTGTATTTGTGATAAAAGGTTATCACATTTGTGATAACAGGTTATCACAAATATGTATGTTATATGTACTGCAGCTTTATGTGCCAAAATGATAATCTTAACATTTTAAAGATGCCACTTGTATTTGCCTGACTATACTCCCCCCTATAGAGTAAGATAGTTGTACACCTTTAAAGGACTAAAATAAAACTAGTAATCAAAGGTGTGATGTCTTTTGGCTGATAGGGCAATTAACCAAACCACCACCTTGTGTGAGATTTTACTGTCCACTGTGCAGCCCTTGGGAGAGAGACGCAGAGAGAGAGAGAGAGAGCGTGCAGATGGCCCGGCGCCAGCACACCCCACCCTTACTGCTGCCTGCAGAGCCACAAGTACTGCATTTCCTGAGGGCAATGCAGAGGACAAGCCAGATAAGGTTCACTTCTGCTAAGGTCATGGATATCTCAGAGTTGGAAAGAGGACAGATGGACTTTAGATTCCACCATAATTAATCTGTATAATGCAGTCGTGAAAGACCATCATTGTTAGTTATATAACTATTTGCAATATAGATACACTTACTTACATCAGTTGCGTTGCATTGCTTATAGAAAACAAAGGGAAGTGATCATTACATTAAGCTACAAAACTGTACATACTAATAAATGAAATACCAATACTGGACCTGAATACCTTTGAAGTTTCTTACTGCATTACAGCATTTTAAGCAGTTTTCCATGTAGATCATACACA